TTTAGACATATGTAATTTAAATAAAATTGTGTATGTATGTATTATGCAATAATACGGACCGAAAAATGCATACTTTTTGAGTTATTAATTTTTTTATGAAAAAATTGACCGATTCATGCCATTAATTATAAATTACTCTTTTACGAAAGATGCTTTTAAAGTTCTGGAAGCATTTTTGTAGGGTGGCTACTAGCAAGGTCAAAGGTATATTTCACCCTGAGTTGAAAGTTAAACTTCAAAATTATCAAATTTCCTTATTTTTTTTGGAACTGCCCATTATTTATATTTTATTGAAATCAGCGGTAAACAATAAGAGAAGTTCATGTTCACTTCGCTATACTATATGTGGCGGTAAAATGTCAAACAAAATGGAAGTGGTAAAAAACTCTCTTTTTATTTATTTCTTTATTCTCTTTCTATTTATTTATTTATTGGTTTTCTCAGATTTTGGGATAGATACAATTTACATCCCCCCCTTAGGAATTTAGTAGATAATGATAAATTAATAGTCCACTTTAAATTTGATTTTAACTAAAAACTTATTTCCAGATATTTCTAGAACAGATTTAAAAAAATATTTTGTTTAATTCATCATAACGACAATGCAACAGAAATCCAGGAAACCATTAGACCAGCGATTACTTATAAAGCAATTGGGCCTACTCATGTACTTGCCTAATCTGTTTAGGTAAACATTGTATAAACGATACAATTGAATGAAAAATCAACATATCTACTATAAAGACACACAATTCTTTGACTATAATTTATTTATACTATAATTTATTTAAGTTTATTTAAGTTTTCACTTTGATAGGTACCAATATCAGATTTATTAATAAATCAAATAAAATTGGGCTAGTGCATGGCCCGGTAAAACGGGCAATAATCCCCGAATTTTACGACTTTTTAGCGACCGTTGGATCTTCAGGTACCTATTATAAGTTAGTATGGTGCCAGAATATTACCAATTTTAAATAAACCAATTTAATAATTATTTCTATTTGAAAATACAGTTTTTTAGAGTCTTTATGATGAGCTGATTTTCAATGATATATCACACTTGCTATTTATCATTGATATTATACAGGGTGTAAACGATATGATAGTCAGTAGTCACAAAATAAATCTTTATTTGTGAAAACAATAAAATAGCAACGCTGTCGTTTGCTTGTATAAAGTTGACCTTAAATTTGAAACATATAATTGTGATTTGATTTTAACGTAATATCTCCAGAATTATTTATAGTTAAATATTTGATTAAATTGTTTTTTACAGCTTCCTCAACCGTGTGTTCTCGGGCGGAATAAGGACACTTTACCTCAATAAGTGCATTATCTCCTATTAGCCCGTCCGGGGAAGCTGCCTAAAACTCATTTTCCTTATCAACAAACAATCCGCATTTCATTACATTTTTATTATACATATAAGGATTCAAATTTTTCTATCGCTTTTGATTCGTTTCCGATAAACTGAAGCAAAATATTAGATTTTTTCCGAGGTAAATATGCCGAAAGTTGACACTAACTTTTTTATTTAAAATGAAATATCATATATATTTTTACATTTTTAGTATCTTCATTATGAGCTGATTTCAATGATGTGTTACACTTGCTATTTATCGTCGATATTAAAGGATCTACAGCCATTTGAAATTATGTTTTTTGACTTTAGGCTGCCCCGCGAGTGGCCGTAACTTCTTTATTATCAATAATAAGTTTTAAGTATGACCTATCGTTGGAATCGGCTCGTCTTTATGATTTTAAAAATGTAAACCATATACGAATTATTTCATTTAAAATAATTTGTCGTCATCGGCATTTCTAAATATTCGAAAATATATTTTCCTACAATATCGAAATTCGGATATTCTAAAATTCAAATTCTAATAAAAGAACAAACCCAACCACTTATCTCAGTTTTACGACATACCCCGCTGTGAGCTTACTACCTGAAAATTTGCCGAAATAAAGTGACAGGTCTTGCTGTACAAGTTGCCTATTCCCGAAAAAATATTTTGCGAGTACTGAACTCTAGCCTTAAGTGCTCTCGCTGGATTCAATAGGGGCAGGAATTAATTTCATTACATTCGATGAAGCATTAAATTTGGAGTATGCTTGCGTATACCGTGTTGGAAAATTTTTCGCGCATAATAGGGAAATCAATGTTAAATTCTTAGCCGGCTGAAATCCAATCTACCAGTGTACATTTCAATAGAACGTCGCGATCAATTCTAATAAATTTAATTGTTCTACTGGACTTCACACCGCGCTTTGGCTTGGTTAGATTAAAAATCAAATAATTTCGACGGTTTCGACACTTCGACAGTATCAAAACGGGTTCGGATGGGTGAACGTCGAGTCGATTAAAAAGAAATGAGAATTTTTAAACCGATAATTTATTGAAAAAATATCACTAATAATAAAATAGAATTATGTAGATATGTCTTTTTGCCACAATGGCTTGAAAAAGAAAGTAAATTCTAAGAAAATAATAAAAAGAATACTCCAAAAATAAACTTAAGATTATTTTAAAATAGAAAATAAAAGAACTCTAAAAAATAGTCCACCGCTTTCTGCTAAACAATAGCCAAACCTGTCATACAGATGTCATCTCATATTACTGAGCTAAGGTGTAATTTTAAGAAAATTGAATTATTTTTTCCTTATTTTTCCTTATTTTAACAAGATTTGTTGCTATTTCAAAACTGTACCTACCGATACACACATTTTTTTGAAATATCCCCAAAAAACCTATTAAATGTAGTTTCTAAATAATTTTGTACCTCATACCTAACACAAATAACTTTGTACCTCTACAAATCGCGGCGTGCGGTCCAGTAGAACAATTAAATTTATTAGAATTTATCGCGACGTTCTATTGAAATGTACACTGGTAGATTGGATTTCAGCCGGCTAAGAATTTAACATTGATTTCCCTATTATGCGCGAAAAATTTTCTAACACTGTAGATCAGAGACTGATTTTCGAATTGTTGTTCATTAATTATGTCTGCTGAAAGGATATATCGCACTTTTGTGTTACTTATTAGTATTGTACAAATGTATCTTCCTGACATATCTACATACAAATTTCGACGGATTTCTCAGATTTTGTAAACAAATATCCCTTATCTGATCTGCCAATAATAATTAGATATCAACGGTGAAAACAATCGCATTACAAAATCCCTCTGTTCTTGTACTACTTCGGATAATTGTTCTTCGGCTATTGTTATTGGTAATAATTGGTCCTATAGAATATATTATAGGTAATCGCAATGATTACGACAGATGGATTTAACTTTGAGAGTACAAACAAAAGGAACTTTCACAGCACAATATTAATTATTTGACTGTGTGACTATTTTGCAAAATTTTATTCGTAGAAATTCTTCTTGACTCATTTTCCATTGAATTATTGGCTCAAATTTATGTAGCATTTAAAATAGTTTAGATAAGTTTTATTTTCCCCATTTAGTTGTTACACGCGCTCCACGCATAGCTATTACACAAATATTTGTATTGCTTTTTTTACTCTAATTCTACCCTATTTACGATAGTATGCTCTGTATCTGCGGATAACACGTACGCATCTCGTGTCAAGATCCTTTTTTTTATTCACTACTTTAATGTGCTTCAAATGTATAATAAAGACAACGGCATTTAAAAGGGAATCTTAATAGCTCTACATGATAGAAAATTACTATTTTAGATAATTACAGTTTATGCTTTTCTGTGCGTGCTACATAATGGTTAAAAGAAACTAAGATACCTACAGATATGTTGACATCTCCTTGAGTAGATTTTAATACCTTTACCATTCGAGACAGAGCTTTAAATTCCAATGAACCATTTTCTAAAATATTCGACTATAAACGAGACAGGCTTCCGTTGATCGCCCGGTATATCAAACGCCGCGCCTTGGAATTACCATCGAATGGAGAAGATAGTGGCAAGAGGGCACGAGCCGAGGCTAAAAAGACAGCCCCAGGCTCCGAACTTGAGGCCACTGCTTCGCGCTGGTTCGTTCAACTCCACATAAGACGCTTATTTATGGGACAACCCATGGATGCTGGTTAGATAAAGACGGGCTATTAAAGTGCCGTCGTTTTTCTCGTTTTGATGATGATCGATTAGTAATTAGCGACATTTAAATAATTCACTGATTTTAGCGGCAGCATTTAAAAAGTCTTTCAAGTATGATAGTTAGCAGTTATTCTAATTGTATTTGCACGAGGAGGAAATATCATACTAAAATTACGCTGTTCACGGGCTTGGTTTTAATTGCTGGTAAAAAAACTTTTCCGAGCTCTTGAAACACCCATTATATCCTATTTGATGGGTTATACCTCAGGTACCTTCAACAAAACCACTCACAAAAATGGCCTTATAATTGTACCTTTCTAGTTTTTAATTGTTTACTTAGCTTGTTGAACGGCGGAGATTGTGAAATGTGTAACATAATATTTTTTTAGCGGCACGCGACTCCACTGTCGCTCAAGCAGGAGCCCAGATTTCGTCCTTTGTTCGCTTTCAAGCAGCTGCGAGGGCGTTGTTGCCACAATATTTTTCCACTAATACATATAAATTGAATTCAATCATGAATGTGGTATTTTGTCACCAACGTCATTTATCATATATGTCACATGTCTTTCACGTCACAATTCAAACGTAAAAGGTACTTAATATTTTACATTTTAATTTGTACTGTAGTAATAAATTTATAAAATTATAAATAGGTACATAATTGTCCCTATGTAACTAAAATTTTTTAATTAACAATTAATTTTGTTAATGAAGATGACAAAATTGAGGCCACGAAACCACTCCTTATTCATATACCAATTCGATTGATTGGTACTTATCGATTATAAAATTTATTTAAGAATTCATATATTATTTGGTACAACCATATGTTACGAACAGTTACCCAACTCTACTACGAGTACTACAAAATCTACAACATCATCTTGGCGGGATTTTTCCCGCGTCTCAGCGTTACCCTTCCACTCCCCCTCTTCGGAGAGTAGTACTGAAACGGACGAGTCTATTTAGGTACTCCACAACACAAACTGGTACCGGTTTCAGTGGTTTGGGCTGCATAAAAAGCCTTAGCGAGTAGTAAGTGGCGTAGTAAAAAGGAAAGAAAAACCGTTGAAGTACCATCGGAGAACCGGTCTTGCATGGTGAGATTGGTCGACGTTGCCGTATCTTTGTTGTTAAAAAAACTTTTAGTCAAGAGCAAGGGTAGATTTTGTGTTTAAATTAAAGGGAAAAGCAATCGATACGACTATTGAAATTACTATACGCTTACAAACTAAATCCGATTTATTATTGAAATAGGTAAAGACCCAGCAAATGAATCAACCAAGCAAACGAATCACAGTTCGGTAACGGCGCGTTTAATTACGCTAAATTGATTGGTAACGTACCGTCTGTGCACTGTCTAATTGCGTCTACGTCTGGTGTTTACCCAGGTGCAAAATTTGTTTTAAATTATCACCTGCGCTCTCATTTTCTACGATGATTCATCGAGTAAATCGTTCGATGACATGCGATCATATGGCCTTTTTTGAAAATTCGCGCTCGGTTAGCAACAAACAACCCTTTTCCAAAACCGGATGGTACCATCGTCGAACCCTCTTTATTCCACTCATGCTTGACAAAAAGATAAAATTTTTAGAATTGGATTATAGTACAGGTGTAAAGAAATTTTCGTAAGTACAGGTGAAGTTTCTGAGATTGATATCTTTTAGCAGGGTTTGCAGTTAGTTGTAAAAGTGTTTGCTTACTAAAATTTATGAAGGATTTGAGGAAAATAAATTGGCAAGAAGCATGGTGCTTCTGAGGCTAATTAAAATTAATTTTTAAAAATGGGTATTTGGTAGTGGGTATGAAGCATTTATACATGATAAGAGAACTGATACTATGCATCAGTAATAGGAGTGTCTACGATACCATTGTCTGGCCATTAGAGCGTTGTGATTTCTTATGACAGGAAATAAAATTCGGTTACGAAGTCGATTACCCGTTTTTTTCGCTTTGGTGACTCCGTCCTGCTCCGGGGTAGTCAGTCGAAGACCAGCGCTATGATCGTGAAATTACTCTAGTAGATGTAGAAGGTAAAAGGGAACGAACCCAGTCGAGTAAAAACCCGTCCCGCCCCGGGACGAAAACCGGCTCGCTCGCCGATCGTCTCGTGAAAAAGAACAACTTGTGATTTAAACCCGGCATTAGCGTTGTTTACTATACAATACCGGTTTGATTTTATGCGTCGCGCGTGGCTCGACAATAACTCTACAGTTTCGTTTTCCCGCTCTTTTCACTGTCTAATCATATTAGAACCGCCGATGGAAATAAGTCACTTGTAAATTGGAAACAAATACAAAAGATTTCATATATGCACTTGGTTGCCTTATATTTGGAATTTTTTTATTACCACTGATGTTCTCTTATTATTGTCAACTTTGCCATATTGTTCTTTTACATATATCTTTCCCTTTATTGCCATTATTTTCAACCTCGTAGTCCCCAAAATTTGAACACCACAATTTTGATTTACCTTTAACTCGGTTTGAATCATGTTGGAGCTCGGTTTTCAGTAGGTAAATTAACAATACTGGTGCAAACAACAGAAAAATCCGTGTCGTGTTCTTCGGCGGAGCGAGCGAAGAGAACGAGACTACGAAGAAACGAAGAATAGGCGCAACAACGAGGAAAGAGATAGGAACAAACGCTGCGCACTATTCACATTGGCGTTTAACGTTAAACAAAAGAAAGCTGTGGGTGCCTATTTCCATCGTAACAATGCCAACCTATCCACTAGAGAGCGAATAGGTACTACTTAGCTTAGTATAGTCGAGTGGTACTTTCAGTGTGATTACTCGTGATAGTTCCAGTTGCCAATACTATTCAATAATCGTAATGATACCTATTATTAACGAGGAATAAGAGATTTTTTCGTATGTCTTCAGTACGAATAAATCTTTCCCTTTCACTAAAATATACATATCTATAATTAATTGCTTCATGAGATATTAATAGAATCACTGTTGTGGTTCTAACGCTCAATCAATTTTGATAGAGACCAAACGGCGTTCGGGCCGTGCACGAATCCATCCCCTCACCTCCGCGTCCAATTTAGCCTACACCTGTACACGACTCGCCGTCATCAGGTAAAACTAAAACCGAGTCGACTTACTATAAACCATAAACCGACTCAGCCGGAGTTTCGTTCGCGCGCGCTCGTCGCTTTTCTCGCAGTTTTCGGGGATTTCTCGGTCGGAAAATGCGTTTTGTGAGACGATGTTGAGAGGGAAAACTCGCAAACCGAAGGCGCTGTTCGCCGTTTCCAAGGTAAATCGTTTGTTTGTTGTTGCTCGGTTAGTTACGTCAGGTGGCCATCTTGGTTGAAAGCCGAAGGAGATTGGGTTTTAAAGATGGCGAGAAAGAGACTGTAAATATTGATATTGGTTAGGATGTGATAGTTAATTAACTGAGCAATCTTGTTCGATCTTAAGTACTTGTTTCAGTTTATGCATGTCCGATTTAATATGGATCAATTTTTAAAAGATATACCCTATAGGTACTAAACAAATATGAAAAATAATAGGTATAATTAGAGTGCATACAATTTGCATAATTTATTTACATTTACTAAAAACGTTTTAGTACGAATCAATTTTAGTGAGCCGACTAAAATGTAATTAAGGATTAACAGGATTCCAATTCAAAACCGTTAAATTGATTACTAATTTAAAACACGTGATACATTATTAATATAAAGCATATGTTTTACAAATAGGTTTAAAAATATCGAACAAATTTGTTGTTGTGCAACCATTACTTTGAGCTGTCCAATTCTGTCCTTGTAAAATAACGAATTGAAAAAATTGTATCTATAATTTTGAATCAATTGATTATTGTTGCACTATTTCCTCATGAAAGTATCTAAGCATGTTTTTTGTGTAGGAAATATAATATAAATTAACTGGTTGTCAAAATAAATCAGTCGAATTCGAGATAACTGAAGCATCCATTTTTAACACTCGATGCAATTCGAACAGTAGCCAGAACACCTAATTAACGATTTTTTTTCGTTACAATCGTTTCTAAAAATATTCGAGGAATGTTTACAAATCATTCTGATCGGTCTTAATTTAACTTCGACTCCTGGTAAATACAAACTAACCGCAAATAAATGGATGTTAGTCGGTCCGTTTTGTTTTGTCTTTTTTTTATCCTTCATACGAAACAATCGTGAGAAGTTCATTGATTTGTTTTATTTAAAATAGAAGTTAACAATCGAGGTGTAATAGATAGGTGTGCACATGTGGCGTGCTGTTTATTTTAAAATGATCTGTTCGCTGGAAATCTAACGGGTCAAAGACACATTGCAAAATTACGTATTGATACTATAATAATGTAACCACGAAATTTTTAAATTCAATTTCAAGCGTTCCCATTGAAACTCCAACAATACAAAATGCGTAATTACCTCAATCGGAAGAGCCACTTGCTCCTTTGATAACTGCCATTAAAGACACGTGTTCCTTTTACCTATCATTGCCCGAATTTCGTATGCATTATTGCATTAAACCCGTGGAAACGAGACGAAGAGAACAGCAACATGTGTTTAACGCGTGGCTTTTTTTTGCAGGTGCTGTGGCATCTGGATATCTTCCGAAGGAGTTTCCGGGACCTTTCGGGGCACGCCTGCATGGCGGATTCTTGCATCTTCTGCGCTCTTAAGGTAAGTGTTATTTGGCGTCGTTTTCTAGGGGAAAGTGGGGTAAAAAGCTCGATTAAATAATCACCTAAAAATAACAATGATTGAAATTTCTTATCTGAATATTGGGTAAAATGGAAAATATTGTTGAACTCGGTTATTAAGTTTGTGTTTGTGGTTTCATTGTTGTCATACTTGTAATGATGATGTTCTTTGTTGCCTAATTTACCCCTACATGTATTAAAAAAATGGTATAAAAGTGACATGTGCTTGTGTCGCTGGAAATTTGATATTTTAATAAGTCGCGCTCGATCTACAGATGGCAATTTAGTGCATTAGTGCATATTGGTATCACTCGACGGAGACTGGCACTTAACACATTGATTTAAAATTCATGTTTTTTCTAATAGATATATGTTCACAATCAATGCTTTCTAGATTTAAAAGGAAACATTTTTATAGGCACCTGGTTTGATTACAATTTAAACAAATAGGTACTGAATACCTCTTTTGAAGGTTATTTTTAGAGCATTCCAAATGCATCTAATCGAAAAAAATGTGGATGAACGTTGCTCGTTGTTCTTCCCATTAAATGTAGATTAGAATTCCTCACAAATCATCAGGCTAGGTGATCAAACTATTTACTGATAGCGTTCGTAAGCCGCTACACACCGGACGAATCCCGTTTCATATTCTCTTATAATATCCGTTTTCATAATTTTTAGCGTTAATTTGCGTGCTGATCAAACATTTTACCCGAAGGTACATCCTGAAGTGTACGGCAAATGTGTAAGTAATAATACTCAATTTATAAATTATCAGCTACGCATCCTACTCATTTTTTAATTGCCATTACCTCGCGCTGTAACTGTGAATTTCTAAAGAAACAAATAAAAATGGAAGATTAGAAACAAATAGACAAGCGAAGTCGCTGGGGAACGAGCGTATATACGCTGAAAAATCGTTCCCATCGCGGAATGAAACCAAACAATAAAAGACATTGTTGGTGTGCGATTTGCGGATGAGGTTATTCGTGAAATTGCAGTGAAATTTTTGACCTTATTTCGTTTATTTTTTATGATTTTATCCAGCTAATTTATTATACGTACATAATCTCCTTTTTTCTTATACATTTAATATGTATTTCAGCTAGTGATTAGTATTATATCATACTTATTATAACAACAAATAATTTTTTTTCGATATTGAATGTATTCGATAGTTCCTAACCACTAACCACAAATGCTATTGGAATATTTAACGTATATCGTTTTGGTGGTTTATAATTTCTAAAAGTTTGTATACGCTCGAATGATGTACAATAAAAACACTTTTGTGTACCTATATTGAACAAGTTTGAAGCTGATATAACTTTGATTAATAATGCATTAAACTGATCAATACGGCTGTATCGATAGGTAACATAAATTCGTATCTTTATTGGTTCACACCTTCTCCATTTAAATAGCCTCTGGTCCCATAAAAACACCAAACGCGGCTCGGCGATTTAAATCAGCCGCCCGATTCGTTATTGCCCGTTTCAATCCAAGTTGAACTGCGGTTCTTTAGCCGGCCGACTGGAGAAAGATTTCTATATGCCTTCTTAAGTAATCCGTGGACCAATAGCGATGGAGGTCAACCGGTCAGCCAGAGGTGATGTAGAAGGAGGTTGAAAGTGTAACTCGGTTCGCTTGATCGCTGTCAGATGGCGAAGAGTGCAGCTTTTTGTTGAATTTGAAATTTTGGTGAAAGAGCCGGGTCTTTGAAACTCGAAACGTTCTGAACAATGCCAAGTTTTGTTGTTTTAATAGAGGCTACAAAAGTCTAATGACATCGACATTTAGAACAGTTTTTTATTCAATGCAGGGAGAAGCTCAAAATTAAATTACCAATTTCTTTGACCATATAAATAAGATTAATAACAGCTCATTTTTTTTAATTTCAATTGAATTTCGTTAATTTCTATGCTATAAATTATGTTGGAGTTTTTTTAGACTTGAAATATTGCTCATATCTGCTAACTGTCCATACTTTAGAGGTTAAACTACCATCCATTAGGACTTTTAAAATGATTACCATCTCCGCCTGCCCGTCCATCAGTGGGCGAATTATCTCGATTTTTCAAGCGCGTTTTCGACCACGAAAAGATATTTATCAAAAAAATACGACTCTTATTTTTTCCTTACCCAAACATAATCATGCCTAATGCCTAAAGAGCTTAGTGAGGTGTTTTTTCGATTTTTTTTAGTAACTCTCACTAATTTGTTTTGAATGCGGTTGACAGCTATTAAATGACGGGCATTTTTAACGTTTCGTCGTACAGCTAATCGCGCTTTTAATCACCCGCCAACCCAAAACATCGATTATTTCTATTCTTAAAGAATTAACTGTCTGCTAGAAAATATACTTTATACAAAATTCAATCCAACCAGCGTTTTGAATATACCTACATAAAAGTCGTTTGTAAAACTCGCGTATTTTACGTTTTCACGTGACTAACATAATTCTCCGGTTTCACAACGAGCCTTCTAATCCTATAGTCACAACGAGTGAAGAAGAGTCGTGAAGAAGAAAAGTGATGCTTCAACAGCGCGCCATCTACCTAGCCTTGACCGGAGATAAAGAAGCAATAAGAAATGAGAAAAGAGTTACAACCAGCGTCGCAACTCGGCGTTTTCGTCCAAAACTAACCACTCTACCAACTTTATATTACGTTATTAAATTTATCGAAGTACTTAAATAAAGGGAGTGCTCGGTGTTAGTTCTTCTAAAAATTTGATTATTTTGTTATTTATATCTTTCTTTTGTCTACGTTAGTGGCGTATCAAAAGGCAACAACTGTAATCACTCAAACAAAGGTTGCTCAACGAGGAGAAAATGCCGTAAAATTTATCGAAACGCGTTTAGATTGTCGTCTCGTTCGAAGCACGAGCCATTTTTTTTCTTTTGTACATAAAACGTTGTTAATGGTACTAGTTTCGAATGGCGGGATTTAAAAATTCCAATAGGTACTGCTTAGATTAGTTCGTGATAATGGCTGTTATTTCATCGCTTTTTGCCAGTAATACACGCCGTTCACATTTAATACCATGTGCCTATAACAATAAATTCTTTTTCTACGTGATTTTCACAAGTAAAAAATCTAAATCAAAGCTGTATTTCACTTTATACGACAATGTAATTAGATTAGGTTGAACGTACTATATTTAAAAAACATACTTTACTGGGTACTTAGTGGTTTTTAATTACACGAACGCAGTTATTAAAGAGTTAATGATCAAAAAAATCTTCTAATTAAGTATACGTCGATTATATCTTTATGAATTCAGTAAAAATATAACATCGTGGGTTTACATCTTTCAGGTAAATTTGCAAGTCATACAGATGTGTATCGCCGATTTCAAACATGCAATTTACCTTAACATATCTAATAATAACCCTAGTTAGTATGCGCAACCGCCGATACGGGTGCACGGTAATGTTTTCCTCCCACGGTTTGGAAGGAAAAAGAAATGACTTACAATGGAGCGACGTTCCCAATTCCTTATGCAAATGCCAAGTCCATTTTTTCGACTCCAGTTTGCCGAATATGGAAAAATGGTGAGGCAACATCCGTTTGGCGCGAATTGCTGATAATTTTCATTCATAAAAAAGAGAGCATGTCGATATGAGTTGTGCGATATAAAAGGTTTTTGTTTACCGGTTTAAATGGACATCCTGTGCAGTGTTGTTTTTTATTATTGTTTTACGGATCCCGTAAAGTACTGAATTCTATTCGTATATGATTTGGGTGTTTAAAAAGGAAAGTAATTTTATTTTATATTAAACGCCTAACTATTATCCTGTTTTATTTTTGTAACCTACTTATTATAAGTAGGTAGGTAAATTAGAATTGGTTAGTTCGATTCTATGTGGTGCACCTGCCTACATATTGGTGCATAATTTAATTAATACATAACCGACGAATTTCTTCATAATGATTATTGCCCACATTGTCCAGAGAGCCGCCGCCCACTCTTTAAAGAGGAAACGGAGGCGCCGGTACGGTAACTTTATCTCCTCTATATACCGACTACCGGTAGCCGGTGTTTCTTATACCGAAGTTCATTTTTCACTCACCATAGACATTTTGGGTATAGGTATTGTATAGTAGGTATAGTAAGTATATCGAAATCACAACTTGCAGCATTCACCTTTCAGCTAATACCTAAATATTAAATAATTTCTCTCGGAATAATAATAGTAAAGCAACGATTCAACGCTTTATTCAAAAAATATTTATGTATCCCTTGTAAACCCAGTACAACCTGTTTTTAACATGTTCAATCCCCAATTTCAATTAGCGGGTTACTGTCCTATCCGCCTGTTGCTATCTCTAATATAAATATTAACACTGAGCCGTAAGGATCGCGTGCCCACAAACTAAATTAGCCGTCGAAGGAAATACTTTGTTGACCAAATACAAACAAATAATAACCGGATTTTGATATATTATACGAAGGACAAAACCGGACGACTATGTGGCGACTACAAAAATACAACAGTAGGTAATTGAAGTTAATTCATATAGCATCCTTTTTTTACGATTAGTATTAAAATTGATTGAAAAATTAGCAGGATTAAAATGATTTATTTTTCTAAATTTTAATCACTGGCTATTAGATAAAGTAATTAATAAACGGTTACACTCTGATTCATCTCGAAATCGGTAGTTTCGTTCGTGAAACAATAAAACATGCATTATGCGCACAATTTTAATTAAGTTTGTAATTATAATTATGCGGAGAGTGATATTAAGAATGAACTTGCCCGTGGGAACTCGAAAAATGAAGAATTAATTAGGAGAGAATAGTTCTTTGCGTATAGATATACTCTGTTCTAATCCTAATTTTTATCGTAATTGGGCATTTAAATTTTACTTTATGAGGTCTTTAACTTCTTATAAACTAGAGGATTTATCGCATTTCGTAATTCACTTAACTTTTTAACCTACAATTATTACGCAGCAATTACTGTACAATTTCATTGAGCTTTAATTTTATTTTTGCTTTAAATATTTTCTAACGACTTGTCTGAATGCTTCTAACGTTGGATAATTTACAAACAAATAGACCAAGTTATTAACTAATTGCTTTTAAATATTAGAAAAGTGATTACGTGGAATAATACAGAGAGAGTTCAAACACTTACCGGACACCTACGCTATATTGAATGCGCTATAAATTTAACAAATAGACGCCTGTAGAGTATTTTAATATTTTAGAAGGCGCCATATTATACCCACAAGACTACATAATAGCGCACCTCCGAATAAAGACTAGCCATAGAACTTTTGCCTTAATTCGTACGGGCTATAATTTGGATGTAAATCATTTTGAATTAAAGCGACATAAGTGTAGATATTATCTTGTTGATTGATTTCGCAACGGATGCTCATCTGATTATCATAATTTAAAGCACCAATAACTTAAAATATTGTTTAAAAAATTACTTGCTATACTTACATTAATAAAATTGCCAATAGGAATTTAACCATGAAGGATTTTTATACTTTCAAAATAGCACATATTGGTTAGTTAACGTGTAATTAATAAACCAAACGTAAAAAGTACCGTGTTCAATACATCGTACTGAATGTAACGTTTCTCGGAATGACCATGTTTGTACGAGCATTGGTTTGGAAATAGATAAAATACATACATAAACGAGCGCTTAGTATGCGTATTATGTAAGATGTAGAACTGCGAAAAATATTAATGTTTTTCGTTTACACGACGAGATTGATAATTCGATTTTCTAAGAGATGCACCGCAACTGGAATGTCAATTAAGAAGGCGTTATGTTTTAGGTTGGGTCAATATTTTCTTATGTAGAAAGTATGAATGTTGTAGAATTTTGACAATAACAAATTATTCTTGAGTATATTTATAGATATATTTTGTTATACCTAAGGATATTCGTTACGGACTAGTAAAGTTGTTAATTTTACACTTTACTCACTAGTGCGTAAAGGTGATTTTTAAAAAACTGCATGAGTAGGCGATAGTTAGGAAAAAAATATCAATGCCTATGCAATTTGAGATAACGTCTTACTTTTTTTTAAATCCTGTAGGTAATTTATATGTATTATAACTTCATGTTTTAAGTGCCTATAATGCGTGATTTATGTTTATTTCTATGAAAGCGACAATTTTAGCGTTTTATGCTTCTCAGGTACTACTTCCTTTGAAAAGTTGAAAACATTAACCGTGAATACCTGAATAATAAAGATTCAAAAGTACCTGTCGTTTTAAAGATAACGTAAAATCCGCAGGTTGCAGCGTCTTTCAAGTATTTATCAAAAGTTGAGAGCCATGTCCTGTAGATAAAAACCGTTGCATTTACTATTTGAATACACTATTATTAATATAACAAATAAAGGTGTATTTATATGAAATGAGTATTCTGCATCCTTCATTAGCCTTCAATTTTTGTATAATGCAAATAAAACTAAAAATCCCTTCAATTTTAAAATTTTTATTCGACCGGAAATTTCCACCCCACTTGTGTGATGTTCCTTCCAACATTGCCTATTATTTGCGAATAAATCAGACTTCTGTTATTTAAAGCCCAACTTTTCCCACACTAAAATCGAACGTCAATATATAAAATACGCCCTCACCAAAGCCAAAAAAAAACCTTTATTTACCAAAAACTCCCGGCAGCTTTTGTTACCTATTTTTACCTGTGAAGCCGCGTTTTTAGGTAAGCACACTGTTGTCAAAATTCCAAAAATTCAACCCAAATTATATTAAGAATCATTTAATAAAAAAGATTTCCAAGTATCTGGCCCGCTTCGAGTGCCGCCTTATGCCTTTGTTTTTCATCGCTACAAAAAAAAATACTACACCGTCCCGCATGCACCGCATTCACATTTACCTGTACATGGCAACGCTGTTAACACCTTTCTCTGTCTCTTGTTCCTCTTCTGCAACGTTCGGTTCAGTTTCTCGTTTGGTACCTGGAGAGGAGGTCAACCAACTAATCGCGTAAATGCGCGCCATTTTCATTCGCTTTCCGCATTATCAGTGTCTTGAAATTCGGCAAAAATGATCAACAAGTTTCGATACAAGAAGCCGGTCATCGACGACTCCAAGGACGATCAGTGCAGGATAATCAGTGATAATGACACCCTGAAGAGGAGCAAGGCGAAGAAAGACGGCGGTTCGAATGAGAACGGTACTCTTAAAAGGACTAGCACCAGTAGGATAAAAGAGGATAACGATACGCTTAAAAGGACTGAAACTAGCAGGATGAAGGAGGATAATAATAATTCGCTTCAAAGGACTAGCAGGATGAAGGAAGATTATAATTCGCTTCAAAGGAATAGTACCAGCAGGATAAAAGAGGATAATGGTACACTTGAAAGAACCAACAGGACGAAGATAGAAAACGATACGCATAAAAGGATTAACGAGGATGTTAATGATATTAGTGGGGTTGTTGATGAAAGGACTAAAAAGGAATTACATGTAAGTGTGAACGTACAGTTTTATTACTCATTCGGACCTTTAATACATGCACCTGTAATAAGTTGGAAAAAACGCTGCCCACGCATCATCGAAAATATTATTTACAAAACTGGTCTTCTGCTTGCGCGACATATGGCTGATGAGCTGATTAACTTTCATTTGTTGCCTTTAAATCGGCATTATATATTTTCGGTTGATTAACTTTCTTTCGTAAACCCCGATACCTAAATTAGTAATTTTCGCATCTTCCTCTGGATTCTAATTATTGAATTAATCGAAGCATATGGTTAATTAACAATTAAATTAATATTAGATATAATTGGGTATTTGGTTCAAGGATTTTTAAATACACAGCCTGCCCTAAGGCTATTCAGAATCACTGAGATTATAAATTAGTTGGATACATTTTTTGACGGGTCTCAATCCAACTCGCCCACTTCTATCGTGTTTCTATCGAATATACAATATCAGTTTAATTAGATTGACCGGTTTGACAAAAGGCTCGTTTAAAGTTAAATTGACACATCTTTTGTAATTTAATTCTGTCGTGGAACTCATGAGAAGTATAGTAAGATTATTAATTATGTATGATTTTATACGATTAACTTGATTTTTGGCTTAGTGGAGGATTTTTTGTCCAATTTACCAAGCTTCAAGGTGAATAAACCAGTTGTTTTCGGCAAATCCACCAAAAGAAAAAATTGTAGTCGTTACGTAGGTGTCTCCAAAATAATAATAAATAATATTTTTTCATAAATTTAAATTATACGCCTTTATTTACGGTAAATGTTGATTTCTCGAGATTCTCTCTCTGATCATAAACATTAGAAGAGTTAGTTGAAAGGTGTAATATAAAATTACTTTATAACAAGGTTGTTAGAGATTCACGTTTGCGATTAAGTGATGTCATCCTGGAATTTAACAAAAACATATCTAAAGGTGATGTGAATATGCTTGCCTGTTTGGTAATAAATCTAATGCCAAAGTTCATTTAAAAGCAGCATCTCACAGTATTTTTAATGTTGCGTTAATTACCAATTGCATACTGGAACAAGTTTTCGATCTAGTTGTATAGTTAATTCGGTTTCACCCGCCCGTATTTCTCACAAAACTGCTTATTTACTTCGCTAATAATAATTTCATTACGGCTATGCAGAAACAATAGCGACTCCATGAAATTACTTTTGAATAATAATTGAAGGCTGAACGACTCTAATTAGTGCATTTGTGCCTACCGTAAGCGCATTAAATTTCTTTATTAGGACTAGACTTTCAATTACATGTTCTCGTACAGCAGGAATTGAAAATTGTCCGACCACCTTGGCGGATCTCCGTAGGCGAATGATGAAAGAAACTTTTATTCTTTGTTGAAAAGCAAGCTGATTGGAAATTTAGTTGCAATTTTCAATATCCTCGTATATCGGATCTAACTTTCTTTTTTTCGGTACACGAAGACGTTGCATCCTCACCAAATCGATTACGTTTACGCGTAATGTATTCAAGATGAATTCTCCGTTATACGTTTCAACCTACTTCCTACATATCGGTGTACCTGTTCGGCGTGTCCTAAGGCTGCGTCTCGAGTTCTCATCTAGACCTACATTATCGAAAAAAACTCGCCGGTTTGGCCGTAATTTCGATGCAGAACCACCGAAGGCAATCGATTTTGGGACCGTCGCTTCGCATTAATTGAACCCATAAACTAAACTAGTATACCTGAATTTACATATTATCTAACATAAACTCGCTTTGGGGACTTTTCCCGCAGCGGCAACACCGACTAATAAAATAACGCTCTTCCTGCTAAATCGAATTATGATACAAGAATTGTTTTTACTGCACCTCTAAGAAACTCATTTTATATTCCGTATGAACAATGAGTAATTTTTGTTACAATATCGTGACAATTCAAAATGGAGACCATTGAATATTATTCGATGCTTCTTTTGATGTGGCTCTTTCTGCTCGAGAATCGCTACAAAGATAAAGAGTTTGTTCTAAGAAACGCGCGGCCGGAAATTTCTCAGTGAGTCAGTAAAACGAAAAAGAGGATACTCAGATTTACGCCCGTAGCATGTTCTTCGAAACGTTCAAAAGGTTGAGATATGATATAATCATCGTAAAGGTGTACAGGGTGGTCCAATTTACACCACGTTTTTACGAACACTAAAACTTAAATCAACTATTCTTAAATCCTAAGTTTATTTGTTTGTATACTTCTTAGTACCTAGTCATTAAAATTTCGTTATTTTCTGGAAAAAACAAAACCCCAAAAGCCTTGACTATGTAAGTCTAACAACGTACAGTCACGAAACAACTTTCTATTAACGCAATTCCTATTATATTAAATATGTATACTGCAATTATTTTATTATGTTATCCACAACAAAAAGTATTGGGAGAGGTTTTTGCAGCTCCCACTGTACGGTAACCGCACTGGAAATTTCGAATGCTAATGGGTTATTCGATGCCTTGATTTATAGTAAGCGTATCGAAAAAGAAGAATGAAATTCCTCTGGAATGAATCGGCCCAAAGGAATGCTTGTGTGACTTCTAAACGATTAGGAGTCTCGTAAATTCTTGAGAGAAATTTCAGGCGTAGCAAAAAAGAGTCATTATTACTCCATTATGTTAATTGAAAAATTTAATTTCATTTCATAAATGATATTCATCAGCAACGCACTTTATAGGTTGATAGACATCAAGGGTCTTTAGCTAATCCGTGTATAATTGATTAACATTGTATAATATACTAATATATGTACAAGTAAATATCATGCAGATAGGCAAATCTTGCACTACAATTTATCAGTTTAGCCTTTTTCATTTTTAAATATTGTACTGTTATCGCAATAAGCAAATAGTTTTTTGTTTGCTAACATGTGAAACTTCGAGTGCATGTGTTTCGTGAAAAGCTCATTTTCGCCTCGTTGTTTGCTTAAAATTCAAACAGTCTCGAGTGTTTAAAATTCTCGAGATATACGTGAAAAATGGGCCTGTTGGTAGGCACTTTAGTAAATAACCTGAAATTATTCCTGATGCCTTAAAATTCGGAAAGAAACACAAAAAAAGTTTCAGCATTACAAGCAAATCAATTAATTTAATCTTTTTCCATTTATTTACTTACATATACGATTTGAATCGTAATGAATATGTATGAGCAGTTGAAGACAAATTAAGTAAATTAAACAAAAAGATAGACACCACACTTTTTCGTGGATTCAGGTTCCCTTTAAGAAAAGCGCTTCACAACAGCGGGTTCAAAGGTGTGGGAACTTTTTATTGTACAGGTAATTAAACTGAACCGTAACAAAGGCTATTTTTACTCATACACATCCGCCCGTTCCTTCCTCTCCATCTGAAAACGTCATTCATCGTCTAAGCCAGCGATTTTGTCGAAGAAATACATAAAGTACATAAACCTTTAAATGATACCTTAAGAGAACGATTGTTTTAACTTCCACGCAAGGAGAATAAACCACAGTTGCAGTTATGGAACATATTCTTGTTGTCTATAATATTGTTAACTGTGTAATCCTGACATCCTCTTCTCGTTATTCGAGTCTTCTCGTAGTTGTAGGAAGGCATAAACTATAATCCTTCAGTCGTCAATGGCTGGGCTAGTTATTTTTACTTTGATTGATTTTCCTGCAGGTATTGTTCCAAACGAGGCGTATTTGTTACCATTTAAATTTCTTTTAGTCACTCATTGTTTATCGACAAATACAAAACCTTGATTTCAGAGTATGCGATTAATCGTTCTACTTATCGAGTATAGTTTACGATCTCTTTCATAACACACCTATATTCAATTTGCAATCTACTGTTGTGTGACGCAAAATGGACCATGCTTAAAAACCTACACGCGCGAAATACGTATTTCGCTGGCAGTCTCCTTTGTTCGAATCTTCTATGCCAAGTCATTGGTCTACTTCGAACGAACCATTTAAAGATTGATTCTGCTGCAGATTTCCTGATTGGTTGCATTACAAATTGGTGTTTTTTGTTATTGCAGGAGCTGTTCTCCCAGCTGCAATACTCGACTGAAACGGCCCTTCCGCCTGACGCTTTGCGCAGAGCCCTGGCCGAGAGTTTCTTCGATCAAAACCGCTTCCAGCTGGGCTTCATGGACGATGCGGCCGAATGCTTCGAGAACATGCTGTTGCGCATCCACACGCACATCGCCCAGGGCGAAGCGGAGGACATGTGCAACGCGCGGCACTGTATACCGCACCAAAAGTTTGCCATGACGCTGGTCGAGCAGAGCGTGTGCGGTTCCTGCGGCGCCACCTCCGAACCGCTATCTTATACTCAAGTAAGTAATACCTGGTAGCTTAGTAAGAGTGGTGTGTAATTGCAATTTTAATTACAAATTTATGAGGTTCTTTATTATATTCGTTTTGCGTAATATCAGCCCGAAGGCAGGAATAAAATTCCGAGAAAGCGGGAATAGGATACGCGGCCTTGATTGGATCAATCGCTAACGCTTTAATGATATACTTGTTTACTCGTTTACTGCTAATTACAAGAAATTCCTTTTTAAATAAACATTATTTTTAGATGGTGCACTACGTTTCCACCGTGACATTGGTGTATCAGGTGCGATCGAACGGGATGCGATCGAATTCGGATCCGTTCGGGCAGCTCTTGCGAAAAGCTGGCAATATGGGAGACGTGAGGACTTGTCCGGTATGTTCGTTGGCAATTTCCCCTCAACAAACGTCTAATTATTTTGATTTTTAGAGCTCCTGCGGTGCTGTTATACAAATAGGTAGGACGTTGATGAATCGACCAGAAATCGTTTCGATCGGCTTGGTGTGGAACTCCGAACGACCGACTTTAGAGCACATTATGGAGGTGTTTTCCACGATCGGTACAACTCTTCGATTGGGAGACGTTTTTAACACCGTGGTCGACAGTAAATGGGCTGAACTATCGGTGCATAATCTAGTTGGAGTAGTAACTTACTACGGCAAACATTACTCGACGTTTTTCTTCCATACGAAACTGAGAGTGTGGATCTATTTCGACGATGCCACCGTCAGAGAAGTGGGGCCTAGGTGGGAGCAAGTAGTCGAGAAATGCCGAAAAGGAAGGTAAGAAAACGCTTCGATACCTATCTCTCTACCGGTTATTTATTGGCATAATTTACAGGTATCAACCTTTACTCTTGCTGTACGCCCTACCGGACGGTACTCCTGTGAATACGGATAACGCCCCGAAGCAAATCACTCCTCTGCTCTCGGAAAAAGTGAACAAGAAACCACCACAATCTGTACTCAGGCGATCGGTAACGCCGAGCCCGGAGAAACCGATGATTGGTTCAACTAGACGTGCCATAACTCCCAATCCAGACGGTTCGCTTGTTAATCAGAAACCGCCATTACCGAGACCTTACAACGACTATCAAAACCTGCAGATAATACAAAACAGCATATCTCAAAACCAAGACGTCGATACTGTTGATGGATGCATCACTAAAAAAGACCCCGAATACATTTGCCGGAAAACATTAGATTTTGGTAAACCTCACGTAGGCATCCACAGGACACTAAGTAACAGTTCCTCTTCCGGTATAGAAGGAATTAACATTCCCGATCACCTAAACGTGCCGAGACGAAGAGATAGCGGCAACTGGAGCGGCGATAGAAACAGCGCGTCTTCCTCTTCTTCAACCACCATGGAAAACCCCTACCTTTACCTAGTCGGTAAAGTCCCTAGTAACGGAGGAAGCGTACCAGGAAGCCCAACCAGAACAAAAACCGACTACTCGAGCAGCAGCAGTGGAATATACGATGCAGGTTACGATTCCTACTCTTTATCATCGAACGACAGCTCGACTGTAACAACCTTACAACACCTCATGAAGATGGGACACCTCGCGAAAATTCCCGAAGACTACAACAACTCGATTCCCAATCAGAATTCACTCAGTTGCGACGTCCTCTGCGATGAGGCGGACGAACTCTTGGTGAAGTCTAGGCAATTGGAAGACGAGCACGATCTTGTTTTGGCTCTCGCTCTTTGCAACGCAGCCGCCACCAAAGCTAGGGCAGCTATGAACGCCCCGTACAACAATCCCCAAATACTCACTCTAGCTAGAATGAAGCATAACACTTGCATCATGAGAGCGAGGAGTTTACACAGGCGAATCACCCAAGCTCCTAATCCGACCAGCAAAGATAACAATCCGGAAATACGCCATACGAGGGAAGGAAGTAGCGGCAGCGGAAGACATTCGAGACAGAATTCTAGAGATAAAAGTAACCATTCCAGGCAGAACAGTAAGGAGCTTTTAGTGACGGAAAAGGAAAAGATACAACCTACAAAAAGCATTGAAATATACGCCACTTTGCCCAAAAAGAACAAAGATTTACTGAAAAATAAATTGTCCAACTCTACAGTAGAAGACGAAGAATATATGCTATATGACAAACCTCCTGCTAGGGAGTCTCGATCGATTTTCTCCAGATCCAAAAACAAGGATCAAAAAGTGAAAGAAAAACGATCGAGAAGCGAAGATCGCAACAAATTATCGAGGGGTGATTTTTCGATAGCCCCAGAAATAGTCGTTGGCAAGGATACCTTAAAGAAAGTGAAGGAAAAGGACGAAGAGAAGAAGGAAAAAGACGGAAAGAACAAGAAGCAGCACAAGATTCGCAGGAAGCTGTTGATGGGTGGTTTGATTAAAAGGAAGAACAGAAGTATGCCCGATTTAACAGACACGAATTCTGTTGAAAGTAATTCTGTAAAAACACCAACAGCTACAGTTGACGACAGTAACGTTGGTTTAAAAGGTACATTTTTAAATTTATAATTTTAATAGTAATAATACAATGATTTATATATTTTTAGGTACTTTGGAGTCTCAAAAGAGCATGAGTGGTTATTTATCGGAAGGCCATTTGGAATTCACCGGCAGTTGTGCGAACCCCAATTTGGAAAGAAGCAAGTTGATGAGGAAGAGTTTCCACGGCAGCGCCGGCAAGATTTTAACCATGGCTAAAGTACCTCCACCACCACCTCTTAGAACGACTTCCCAACTTAGTAAATCTAAGTTAAATGTACCAGAAGTTTGCGAGGACCATCAGCAGTCTTGTCCAGACGGATTCCACCAGCAAGACTACAATTACCAAGCTGTGCCTTCATCTTTGCCTCATTACAAAGACAGTTCGTTCAGCGATGAAAGCTTCTACAACAGCAGCACCAACACTGTTATTACGCAAGCAGAGGTGCACCAAGAAGAAAATTCCAAAGGTTACAACGGTGACAGCGGCGTAGACGAGGTAGATTGTCTTCCTAATGTCAATCACATCGCTCTCATGGACTTACCTCCTTATCCGAGTCCGCTAGGTTCTGTAATACATTCGAGACAAGCTAGTGAAGAATTTCCACCACCTCCACCACCTCTTGATCTCTCGTCTCTGGACGAGCATTTAGTGCAAATGGCACAACCTAGCACTCTGTTAAGTCAGCTGCAAAACAAACGACACGAAATATTCTCTCAAGATTCGGATTTGCAAAAAATATGCACCGTACCGAAATCGACTGGCGATACGTGGTTGAAAGAATTACAAGCGAAACAAGCTGCGTTAAAGAACAAAAGGAATCTCGCAGAAAATGCCGATGGAGAGGACGTGGTGAACACTCAAAGATTTATACAGGCCGATAAAATCAAACAATCTGTTAGAGATTTAGCTACGAAATTCGAATTCCAAGAGGTGAAACCTTCGATTCAGAGCTACAAGCACGATCCGGTCAAAAACGAAAACAACGGTGTACTTTCAATGAAGAAGAGGGAGGAAGCGGATCCCATAGCAGCTGAACAAATAGCAGAAGAGTTGAGGGAAGTTGAAATGCTTAATGCTGTTGTACAGAAGACTCTCAATTTAGGTGCACCCGACACTAATTCTGTCGAAGAAAAGAGGAAATTGAGCAAAAAGAAAAGCGTGTCCTTCTGCGATCAAGTAATACTCGTTGCGACAGCGGACGAACAAGAAGACGACAGCTTTATTCCCAATCCCATATTAGAAAGAGTATTAAGAACCGCCATGAACAAACCGGAAAGCGCCGCTATCAGACAAGAAATCATGTCTTTGCGAGAAAACGAGGCGAAGAAAGACAAATCCGAACCAAACGAGTTTTCCAATCAGAACCAACCGGTTTATGCCAAACGAAATTTAAATCCAATAGTTCCAGCTAAACCAGTGGATGCCGTTCCAGATATGCAAACGTACAGGCAATCCCCTCAACCCATGTACAACAGCTACTATCAAAACGGCCAAGTTCCTGCGCAAAATTCTCCACAACCCGTGCTCAATTCTCACGTTTCTTTAACCAACAACCACCCAGCGGCCCCAGTTCCTCATCTGCAAAGGCAAAATTCCCAGAGCGACGCTCACAACAGGCCGGCGTTTCCTTCCGAGATGTACAACGGACTCCAGCCATCATACCAACGCCAATCTAATGGGTACGAAGAAAATTATCCTGCGATTCAGTACGCAAACGCTCAGAGGCAATCGCCGTATCAACCGATTCCTCCGAACTCTGCAGCGTACGTCGCTTATTATAATCACAACAACAAAAGCCCGCAATACTCAACTTCTCCTAGGACATCTCAAATTAGAGTAACCAATCCTAGTCCCATAAATGGCCACTCGGCCTATCAAATGCCGCCTTACCACAATCAACAAAACCAGTACAAGAACGGGTACGATCAAGGTCCCTATCAGAGGGTACCGTTGCCGGAGAATTACCCTCGATACGCTCCTCAGAATGAGATACTGCCGCAAAATTCTCCTTATCAGAGAGTACCTCCGCCTCAAGATCATTCGATGGCGTATCAGAGGGTACCGCAGAACGAATACGATCATCAGACTTCGCCCTATCAAAGGATACCTTATCCTAACGATGCTTATCAAAGGATACCGCCATATCACCCGGAGGAATTGAATAAGCAGTCGCCTTATCAGTACGTTCCCCCGCCTAAGCAAGGCTTGAAGAAGAGCGTGAGTTTCCTTCCTGGCACTAAAGGGGGCGCGGAGTCTCCGATGCCTTGTGTCGTGGTTACACCGATTGTTGTCAATAACGCCAATAATAGTGTACCTACCGATTTAACCAAGTGCAATTTGTGCAGAAAAAAGAACGTAGTGGCTTCGAATTCGTATTGTCAAGACTGTGAATTTTACATGTCGAGGTTTAAGCCCAAGAGTTAGCACTTATCGATGCGATTGTAAATAGTAGTATTAAATTGTCTGTAAAATGTGATATTTTGTTTAAAATTTATAGAATTTTATTGTAAGTTTTTTTATACAGATCTCATGTTTCACTCAGAGTAATTTTATTTTAATGTATCGACAAATAAAATTAGTACAATATATTTTGTAATAAATATTTTTTATAATACGCATGGGTTTTATTATGGCCAAAAAATAAATTGGTGTTTTTTTTAGTAAATATATTGTAAAAGATGACAAAATGTTCCTTATAATAAAAAAAATTAAATGAAAGGACCAGTACAATTTCAAGCGAAAAATTAACCAATAAACTCAAGCAACAATCAAAACCAAATAAACAATTGTATACCGAAATGCCTCAAACCACCGGTCCTTGTTTAGAGAATTTTATAAATCATCGAGATTAACGGCCTCAACGGCAGGCGTAATATTATCTAAATTAGTTTTAACCGATGGTTTGTCGGTTCCTAATGGCACTCCTAGCTTACACCAACTTCCCGGCTCCGCTTTCTTCATTTTTATTTCAACTTTACTCCCGTACATTGTGACTTGAGAAGCTCCCACATCCACAATCTTTACAATACATAAATAATTTAAATGTATTATTACAAAGCATTAAAATAAGTAAATCATACTTACCCCTTTTAACTCAACGTCCAGAAGAAAAGAAGAATTAGATTGTAGCGGAAAGATTAATTTCGCATTCAACCTAACAGGGCTCAATTTCACTATACTCTCGTTGGGACAGTACTGTTTTGCGTAAATAGAAACTATTACGTGAGACCCAGTTTGATGGAAATCCCATCGACATTGCACTGTTTTTTCTTCCTCCTGTAACATATTCAAATGAGTTTAATCCTACATAATCGAATGAAAGTTTTACATCTTTTTTCCAAACGTGCGAACCCGTTTCACAACCGACTTGATTTAGAAACACATTGAAATCTGTGGTTTTCTTTTGACAGCACGACCAATATTTGAGTCCTTCGTGAAATATGGGAACACCAGGATGATATGTGCATGTACTCGAATTAGTTTCCGGTCCTTGGTAAGTTGCCCCGCAACCTCCGTTCTTGCATGTTGTACCAATAGTAATTTCGCCTTCGATTTCGTTGGCTTGCTGTCCCGACTTTTGTTCGGCAGGCTTGACTTGCTGGAGAGAAGGAGCTATTTCTGGCTTGAGAGTTACCTACAATAATTATGATTCGTAACAATGAATTATGTAATCTCCGCAACGTACTAATGGTGTATCAGGTGGAGGTCTTTTTAATGCGGTCGGGATGGGTTTAACTTCGATCACTTCTTCTAATAGTTCTTCTTTAAGCACTTGCTTTTCGGGTTCCGGTGGTTTGATGTTAGAATGCTTGGATGATGTACAGCCTTTGATGTTCAAGAATTCCGTAAAATCGGTGCATTTTTTGTTGCAACAACTCCAGCCTTTGTAGGCGTCGTGGAAAACGGGCAATCCCGGATGGTGTCGACATGAATCTAATAAAACGAATGTTACATTAATTATAAATTAAAACAATCGTACAGCTCCAGCTCCAGTTCGTTTCAAATTATTCTAGAAACTAACATAACCCCACTTACCGTTCAAATTATTTTCCGGATCGTATTTTTGACCGCAGCCGCGATTGTAGCATTGTAATAAGTTTTTTTCAGTTGCCATTTATACTTTTACAATAATATGTTCATAAATTATGCCTCCAATATCCCAAAAGTTTGTTTTCCAAGTTTTAAGATTTTTGAAATCATCAGCGACCCATCCAGCGTGTTTAAAATAAACTGTCAGAAGTGTCAGAGCACTCAGAGGAGAACTGTCACAAATGTCAACGTCAAACAGAAATTCCTGTGATTGAATAACACATTAGACGACGATACTCGTAATTGGTATAAAAAAGAAGTAGAAAGGAATAAAAAATACAAAACACTAATTTTTTATTAGATTTTTATCATGTTTTTAGTTTCACGGTTTACGGTTATGAGTGAAGTGTCGTCGCGCGAGTGATTTTTGTGAGAACTTTTGAAGTAGTTAATAAGTTTGGTGAACAATAAACAAAAAACTGACCAATTAAACTGTGCATGATGTTCGCCGTATTAAAGTAAGTACGCTATCTTATTTTTGATTGGGTTTTTCATTTAAAGATCTTCCTGAATACTTATCTATTAAGCACGAATAATTTACGATTATACAATTTTATATATTATTAATTTACAAACTGGTCCCATCCTTTTCTGTTATTGAAGCACCTACAACAATAGTGCCTTCTTCAACAGAGCTTTCGCGATTAAGGTAAATTCCAAAATTTATTTTTCCTTTAAAAGCTTTTGACAAACTCATCAACGGCTCTTTCGAAATGCCTCCAGTTTTCTGATCGATGCAAATCATTTGACAACGAGTACAATTTCCAAAGAACTGAAAATACACTTATCAAAATAGAAAAATTAAAATAACACAATACCTACCTTGAAGGATAAGTCTCCTATTAAAATTTCCTTGATCCCATTCTCCTCGAATGGCTGGGAAAAACGAGCCACTAAATTGGGCCTAAACCTGCTTATTGTCGATTCTAAATCTTCATCTAATTCTCCTTCTGGTACTTGATTCCTCAACCATTCCACGCTGGTCGAATTTATCAGTAGATATTGGGCTTGATTAGCAAACGACAGCTGCAAATCTAAAATATTTATCATTTAATTTGATGATTCATACACCATACAGAAACAACTCGTTTTTATACATTTTGTTTGGGAATGAACCGGATTTTTTTATTTGATGGCATTTTACTCTCTTTGTAAGTGCGGGACTATACATAGCGTTTTGACGGGAGCGTTTTAACCGGACCGGTTTGGAGGGATAGATAGAACACATTGTTTTAAATTAGATCGTCTATACATGTGCGGTGCGTTTGCGGTAACCGGATTCAACCGCATCTTGCTGCGGTTTAGCGGGTCCCTTTTAAAAACGCATATCGACAAGAACACATTCATTTCAATTGTAGCGTCTATACATAGTGCGGTTGAACGGGATCATTATACAGAAAATTTGGTTATTTGATTATAGTATTTTGGATTTGTTGTATATTTTGTTGAATAATTATTGTATTAGTTATATTCGACACTGATAAATTCATTCAGTATTTCAAAGAAGATGAAAAGCATGAAAATAATGAATGATGTATTTTCTTTCTGTTTTTTAAGTAAGCCAGTAGCTTCAAGGGCGCTAACAATTTTAATATTTGATTAAATTTTCATCAAACCATCTACTTTCTATCTAAATTCTACAAAGAAATGACTGAGCCGCATCCTTTTTAGCGGGATAGACGATGGATGTATATACCGATGAAATAAAATGCGGCTGAACGGGTCCCGTTTAACCGCTCCCGTCAAAACGCAATGTATAGTCCCACACTAAGAAGCAAATGGAGTAATTTTTTTAGCAGTAGTATTATTCCTGTTGTTTTCAATCCATCAAACTGTTCGGATTGCGGTCCCCCAAACAATGTTGGTGTTGTTTCCGTATAGCCCATGGGTAATTAGCTCGGCAAACCTTCTTCATCCGGTTCGAATTGTCTTAACAACCGCAACCCGGGAGCCTCTAGATTTTCAGACAGCCAATCCGAAACGGCATCTCCGCAATCCCATCCAACAACTCTATCGCCGCAAACTTTACTTTGACAAAGGTACGTTTCTTTGCCGGTTACCGCATCATCGATGTTTATTTCAACGTCCCTTTTACCTGCGGAAATTCGACGATCGACGGATATTCGAATATTATTGTAATGGAATTTTTACCTCTAAAACGCAACGTCAAAGTGTTTGTCTTCGAATTTATCACCGGTTTTATCAAACACATTTTCTTGTTTTGTTTTTGCGTTAGACATACGCCCGCCGCGTTCACCACCATCCATTCCCTGTCGAATTTCAAGCCTTTCTTTGTAACCTTCCAACTGTGCGAAACTGAAAATGCTCCGCACGATTTTATCGGATAAAGGATGATTTGTTGTAATGTAGCAACTGCGTTGCCCGGCTGGTAAATGTTTTCTTCCCTAATGGAGGGATTCTTAATTGCCGGTATCGTTTTAACTGAAAATTAATTATCAAGATTATTAATTATTGTGGTGAAAATTATATGCTTACTAATACTGTTTGGTTCGTTATTGTTGGTTTTATCGTTGATGCCATGAAACAGTTCTCTGTAATTTTGCTGGATGGTACCGTAATTGTCGGGAATTTTTCTCACAATCGGTTTAGAAACAAAGCAGTTCTCGATTAAATTCAAAAATTTATCGGCATCTTCTTTGGTCGACATGTAACCGAATGAAATTCTCACTGTTCCCGTGGGTTGTCCGTCTATAAGATCTCTTTGATCGCCACAAACGTGTCCCGACTAAAATTACAACCTGTATAGGAGTTGTACAATTTTGTACATACTAGCTTACGTTAAAATGCTTTATAACATCACTGGCTAGTAACTTCAGAAACCTCTGGCAGCCTCCTGGGTTGCAATGACAGCCTGTTCTTAATTGTATACCGTGCAAATTAGCTAATTGTAATACCTTAAAAGCAAAAAAAATATAGCCAGAAATAGATTCGTATGTATATGTATAGGTAAGTAGGTAGGCACCTCAGAATATCCCACGTGCTCGCCGTTTTCCCTTAATAAATTAAAATTGACGATGTGGCCTTGATGTTCGGGATTTTCGAATGTGGTGTCGTGAAATAAAACAGCCACCGGTCGACCATTAGAGTGATGTAAGCTCAAAAGACTCCTATAAACATATCGGGCCAAATTGAATGTATGTTTTGATATATCCGTAAAGGTTAATTTGAGCCTCGTCAATGTATCGAAACCGTGCTTGAGCGATAGAACGCCGAGGAACGGTATGGTGCCGTCTTCGAATCTAAAAAAATATTTAATTTATTAACGTAATGGTATACCTACTCATTTCAATACTAAGTAATTAGCTTTATATTCAGAAAAGTCAGTTACATTTTTTGTATGGAACTAAATTTCACCTTTCACTCAATATCTTCCTGGGCATTGTAACGTTTTGCGCGCTGGTCGCCATTAGTACGGTTCCTCCGCCGAAATATCTCTTCTTCAAAACCCCCTCGCTGGATTTTCGGACCAACAGGGCACCGAGTCCCGTCGGATAGCCGAATATTTTGTAGAAAGAAACCGCTACGAAGTCCGGCTTGTATATCGACAAATTTAAAATTTCGTGGGAGAGAAAACAAGCTGCATCTAGTAAAACATACCAATTCGGACTGGCGGTGTTTATAAAAGCGTTGAGAGCGCCTTTCTGTATTTTTTCTATCCATTCGAGCGGATATTTCGTACCGGAAAAGTTACATTGGGCAGGGTAGGCGAATAAATTATTGAAGTTCTCGTTGTAATTTTCTGTTGGTTCGTAATTCTTCGATAAGTATTGGAAAGCTTCGTCGGTTTTTAGTTCTTTGCAATTTTTGCTATATCCCCTCATGCCTAAAACTGAGGTGTGGTTGTTTTGCAAGTAAACAAAATTTCCGCGTTGAATATTTCCATAATCGAAAGTTTCCGCAACTACTCTTAACGATTCTGTCGCTCCTGATGTAAATATAATCGAATATTCATCGCTGGTTGTTTGGAAGTGCTGCAAAATTCTACAATATTATTGTTTATTGTAACCTAATGATCGAAAAAGGAGACTACCTATATCGGATTAAATCCACGTGATCCTCTGTCAATTTGCTAGAAGCGTGTAACGAATGCGGATTGGCGTAAATATTGTCGCGCAAATCCGAAAAAATCATTTCCATTTGCTTCTCCGAATATAAAGTTGCACCTGCATGATCCAAATAGCATACACCTAAAATTGCAATTTGATTTAATGTTATGAATTTTTCCATGGCGGAAAGTGTGCTAACGCAACCACGGCAATTTATCTCCTGTTTGCACTGTTAATACCCGTTGTTTGCATTGATAAATGCACGATTATAAGTACCTACTGATTGTTAATTTTATTATAAAAATAATTTTACATCGTTGATAGACGAAAATTGTTTTCGAACGAACAATGAAATTCATGTCGCATTTTAACTAGCTTCCAAACGTAGCTTATGGCAAAATGATTTTGAAACTGAATGTTATGTTCTTCAAAACACGTTACTAAATTTGCATAGCATACTACTAACAATAATTAAGAGTGTAAACTAAAGTTTGTGTAAATATACATACTCCATATGTTAATGGAAGATAAAACGAACAAAATAACTGATAATCTTTGACTTTAATATTAATTGCACTTCTATAGTAAAAATAAACTTACCTTTGGCTCTCTTAAACTCCTCATCGATATTAATTTCTAGTTGTTTAGTGTAAACTGGTTCGTATTTTATAAACTCATCCATATCGACTCTTTCATTCGCATGAATTGTTTCTAAGCACTAACAAACTATTTAATTTTAAGATAACTACAAAGTGGAGTAACTTCAAAATATGTTGTTATCAACATACGTAAATTATTGCTTTATTATTTAAAATGAAAAATACTGATAATGACAAAAACTACGTTGGGAGGTATGTACATACATAGGTTAATTATTCCCCAATGAAATATATCTGTTTGGAGGTCGCTAAATTACGAGTACAATTAAATTACAATCTTTACTAGGTACTCTGTAATTATATTAATTTGTTAGAATTTAATAATATGGCTAATTTAGGTACTAAACACTTAATAATTTTCACTTCCATCATATCACTGTATTTACAATTGAATATTAAACTGTTTAATAATAAAAATACAGTAAACCAAAGTAGGACAATTTACTGCTTTCACTCGGCCTATGATGATAGAATTTCACATTCGATATTCATTAGTGCGAGAAATATCTGCTTCATGCAAAAAATTTTATTGTAACGTGATAAAAAATTCACTCACATCCAGAATGTATTTGTATGTACTGAACCATTTTATGTTTTTAATTAAAAGGTGAATTATAAAACTATTGTAAACTTTGTATTCGTATAAATTATATTAAAATTGATGATATTGTTGACTATTCAGTTGATTTGCCTGTTAGTTTCGCGTATATCAATATCAATGTGATTAATTGAAACCGGATCCGGAGCTTTGATCCTTCTTAAAAAGCAATAATGACCAGGTCACGTCCGAATGGGCACTTATTGGTAAAAGCGCCACGCCGTGTGCGTCCGGTAAAGAGCTTTTTGCCCGAAACGAGCGAGCGAAATTTTTGAAATGCGACTATCGCTAAAGACATTCCCTGAAGTTTCGCGATAGTAAAGGATAAAATCAAATAATAAATTCCTTATAAAAGAGACATTTTCCGTTCGAGTGGACCCGTGTCACGCGTAATATAATAGCTTGATGGCAGAGCGTGGGTCGGTCGGGACCGACTACATTTCACTGCTTTGCCAGGGTGCGGATCGGATTGTCGAAAATCGTGAGGGAAAATCGGCGTGTATATTAAGTTAACGGTGAGATGAAAAATCGGTTTTCAATTTGACTTCGGCGTTTTGTATGAATTCCTATAAACGTACATAAAAATCCTGTCAAACTTAAAATTACATTTTTATTTATACTAGTATATACAAACAGATATGCCTTAACAAACTAAATTTACATTTTCATCTTACTGTCAAATTTATTCTTTTTTAGAGAATTTCTTCTCGTAGGTGTCTTTGGAGATTTTCTTTAAAACTTCGTTAGTCCCTTTACCGGTGTCTTCGACCATTTTGTAGAAAATTCCGTTTTCGTTTTGTAGAAGAATGTGAGGATGGTCGAATTCTGCCACTTTTCCTTGATCCATCACTAGAATTTTATCGGAATCCATAATTGTATTTAATCTGTGCGCGATCGTGAGAACTGTACAATCTTCGAATTTCGTTCTTATGGTTTTCTGAATTAGAGCATCAGTCCTACAATTAACATAAAATGAGAAACAATTCAGAATTTTTTTTATAATTTTTTACTTACTGCGGATCTACATTTGCTGTGGCTTCATCCAACATAAGAATTTTATTATTCCTTATTATCGCTCTAGCTAAGCAAATAAGTTGCCTTTGTCCTACGCTGTAATTAGAACCCTTATCAGTGACCCTATTTTCTAATCTATTGATAATATTCGCCGGGTCTTTAAGTTCGACTTGCTCTAGAGCTTTGTACAATTTCTCGTCTGAGTACTCTCCGAACGGATCTAAATTGTATCGTAGAGTTCCGGAGAATAGGATAGGATCCTGGGGGATGATGGAAATTTTGGATCTGAGATCCTTCAAAGTGATGTCTTTGGTATCTATATCGTCGATTTTGATGGCGCCTTCAACGTTAGCTAATCTGAATAAAGCTGCGACTAGCGAAGATTTTCCTGCACCTGTCCTACCTACTACACCAACCTGCGTAATACAAGAAATTTATAATTATTTTCTATAAAATTTGAATCTACTTAGTACCTTTTCTTTTGGTAGAATACTAAGATTTAAGTCTTTAATAATCAACGGACCGTCTTCGAAATATTTGAATTTCAGGCCTTCGAAATCGATTTTCCCAGTTTGCGGCCATGTTAAAGGCAGAGCTTTAGGCTTCGCAGTCTGGGGTTCCGGGGGCAGTTGTTTATATTCAAGCACCCTCTCAACTGACATTAATTGATTCGATATATCTGCCGTCATTCTAATTGTAAATTGAACCATGCCCGTTAGCAAGGATGCCTGAGATATGGCCAAACCTATGGTTCCTCCATTTAAGCCCATCGCTGGAAATTAGAGGTATTACAAATTTGTTAAAAAGTAAACGTGGTTGATAAACATACCTTTGTCGAATGTTAATATAGTAAATACGAGTATTGCGATGAATACACATGAAAATAAATCTAAACTGAATCCGAATGCAGAACTACACGTGATGTTCATATACCAGGCGCTAATGTGGTAATTTTGTATTTTGTCAAACTCTGCTTGAAGTATTTTTTCCGTTCTCAAGGCCCTTACTGTCGTTATTCCTTGTAAGGTAGCATTTAAATGTGTAAAAATAGGACTCCTTACTGAAATTGAAAAATAATTGTCATATTGTAACGATAAATGTTTTCACTTACATATTGATTCAACTCTCTTAAGATTTTTAGACGTCTTTAGATACATGTTCCTCATAAATGTAGTTATTATTCCGAGTGCAACAGCTAATATAATAGCATAAGGATTGGCTACTCCTACCAAAATTAACGAACCAATAATTTGCAAAAACATCTACAAAAAGTACATTGTAAATTAAAATTATTTAACGAGAATACCTCAAAACGTACTTGTCCACCCTCAAGAAGTACTCTAGGAATGAGTTCGTCAATGCTACCGATATCTTTTGAAAATCTGTTCAATATCCTACCGCTGGGATTAGTATCGAAGAATCTCATTCTCGCGTAAATAATTCCTTCCAGCAAGGCTTTGTGTAACCTCTTTGAGCACGTCATCGCCACTGAATAGAAAGAGACAGTTCTTGCTAATGTTAATAGTATCAAAATTCCAACTAGGCATCCGTAAACAATCAAGCAGGTGTAGGTGGACCAATCCGGATATGAAAATGTTGCTCCAGCATTCATAGTACTATTCAATGCTTCTGATATATTATTAGTTGCAGTAGTGTTTGTAATTGTGTTAACAACAGTTTCAGTTGCGTTAACAGTTTGCAAATTATTTTCATTCTCAATTCGCTGTTCTTCTATACTCGTCCAGAAGCTGATGAAATAATCTACAATGCTTCCGATACCCTGCACTAATACATAGAGGAGCAGGATGATGAAAACGTTGAAAGCATTTGCGCCGCCTCTTAAATACTGCAGTAGCAGGGAACCAAACACTTTGCCTTTGGACGATTCTTCCTGCATATCGATCATTTGCGGTTTCTTGGACTCATCTTCATCTTCCGATAGAGTCTCGTCGCTTTCCATCAAGCTTTCAACGTAGCTTCTTGTACTCATTAAACTGATTGTTGAGGATTTCCTGCTCTATTAAATTGATATTAAAATAATTAATGTGGTGGTTAGTTTTATAAAGTTGTGTTAAGCACCTACCCGTCTTGAAATTTGTCTGGCGTATTTCACGCGCTCAATTTGTTTGGATTTTTCTTCTTCCGTGGGGGTTTCGGGTACTTCCTCGGGTTCTGATGTTAGCAATTTGGCGTAGAGATTGTCGCTGTGAGCTAGCTCATTGAAGGTTCCATGGCTTTCAATCCGACCCTACATTAAAATCAAATAAATAATCGCAAACAATTAATATATTTGTGGCACTTACATTATTTAGAATATAAATTTGATCCGCGTTCTTCAAATAGTGCACTTGATGCGTGACTAAAATTCTTGTTTTTTTCGATAAAAATTTATTGATGCATTGTTCGTATAGAACCTTCGAAACGTGAATATCCACAGCTGATAAAGGATCGTCTAATAGGTAAATGTCTTTATCTCTGTACACAGCTCTCGCTAAGCTGATTCTAGCTTTTTGACCGCCACTAAGCGACGCGCCTTTGTCCCCAACTATGGTCATATCGCTGTCAGCGAATTGCTCCAAATCCTTTTCTAACGCGCAAACTTTTATCACCTCTTTGTAGCGTTTTTTATCATAGTCTAAGCCGAAGAGGATGTTTTGACGAATGGTCGCTGCGAAAATCCAAGGTTCTTGGGACGCGTAGGAATATGTACCGTGTGCGTTTAAAGTGCCATCAGTAATGTCCAATTCACCTGATAATTAAATATGTAAATAGGGATAATTAAATATGTAAATAATTCGGAAATGTTGAATGTGAAAAATATGTACTATACCTAAAATCGTTTGAAGTAATGAGCTCTTTCCACTACCAACAGGGCCAATTATACCGATCAATTTTCCTTTATTCACATCCATGGTGATGTCCTTAAGAACCGACTCCGACAGGTTGATGTTCCACTTAGCGGTTACGTTTTTCAAGTAGATGGCCGATTTAGAATTTTCATCTTCTTTTTTGATTATATTTTCCATTTGTTCGTAGTTGTACTCCTCGTTATCGAGGAAGTCTTGCAATCGACTTACGGATGTGAACAATTCAGCGATTTCTGTAATACCCCTAACGAATATGCCGGTGAGAGTCATCGATAGTTGATTGAAATAGGACATGAGCACAAATACCTGCGAATTAATAAATTCGATGGATACGTTTTTATTTTATTTGTAAATAATTTAATTACTTTTGCTGAAGTTATCTCGCCGCCTGTTAAAGCGATAGTTATGAGAGTTGCAAAAAGTGCCATTCTAGTGGTGACCATACCCAAAGTGGCAAATATTGCTCTAACGAATGCTGCACGTTTGATGATTTTAATTTCAGCTTTCCTGGCTAATCCAACCACTTTTTGAAAAGGTATTTCCCACGCATACATTTTGATTACTTGTATTCCTAGAATAACTTCGTCCATAAGCCTAATTCTTTCGTCAGTTTTCATTGCGGTCGCTTTTCTAAATCCAGCAGATAATTTACCAGAATATGCTAAAATGAACCATCTTAGTTAATTTTTGATTATCACCTAAGTATATTTTAACACAAACCTTGCAACGGTGCCATTACAAACACAACCAGTATACCAGCTAAACCAGGCAGCCCTGATCTTTGATACAGCATATACATCACTATTATTCCAGAGACCGGACCTATCCACATCTGATTTATCAGCATCGATGCGAAATCAAATCTTGCCACATCGTTTGAGAGCAAATTTACAACTTTACCGGTAGGGGTATCGCCCAAAGCTGTTCGGCTTAATCTAGTGGCCTAAAATAAAATATGATTTTGGTAGCAATAGCAGCACGGGCAGCATATCAATGAACCCTTTACCTTCCTATAAACCAGCGCGCAAACTGCCGCTCTTACTTTCATGCCAGCGTGCAGAGCGATTACGATATATTGGTTCATAATAAGAGAAATGCCGAAAGAAAAGAGCACCATAGCGACTCCGTATCCGTACGCTTCTAATTTCGATTTGCTCGATCCAGGCGTGTAGTAATCGAGAACACCCCCTAGCATATAGGGCTGGAATGTTCTGAGTCCTAAGTCGCATATGCCGGAGAGTAGTCCTATTATTGCATACTCCGTCCAGAATGCTTTAGCTATTGCTAATAATAAATGCGGTTTTTCTTTTATTCCTCGTTTGACTTTGTCTAATTCCTCATTCCAGTTTCTGAGAAATGAAATGAGTTTAATTTTTTGATTACTGTATTGGTTGGTGTAGGTTATTTACTTTTCCAGTCTTTGGCATAAGTAGTCACTTTTATCACTTTCCAGAGGGTTGTAAACATCGTCCACGTCTAATTCTTTTTTTAAACCTTTCCTAAATGTTGGAAGCGTGAATCTAAAAGTTAAAATAAAGTTAAAGAAATACAATCAAAGAGGAGTTCTGTAGCCATCAGCAGGAAAGAAGAGAAAATATAATATAGATTGTTACTAATTATTAAATGTTACTTATTTGTTACTTACCCAAAAAATACTTGTGAAATTATGTTTGCTGTTTCGCGAGGGTTGGGATTGAACTTTACTTTGGTTGAGTCCATATTTTAAAGTTTTGTTTAATCGATATCTATTTATACATACTAATTCGAATAGTTTTAAAATAAATAATGGTCGCTGCAAAAGAAAGACAGAAATTTAATATTATTTGTTAATTAAAATTAGCAATTTAGTTTAGTATTGTTGAGTATGGATATGAAGTAAATTTTTTTATCATATTTATGTTTTAATCCACTGTCTATAGTGTAACTGTGCTATGTAAATGTTTACCTACAAGAATATACATGTTTTAATTTAAACAATAACAGGTAGCGGCAAGTATTTTTTAAAATAACCAGTGAATTATTTTGCAAGAACTGAATTAAGAAGGATTAAATTTACCTATGTATGTTTAATCCTTGAATACTATTACATTACATATTATTTGCTCACTTATCTAAAATAATGATTATGGTATTATTTAACATGCACAATGCAATATTATTTTATGCCTAAATGTGCAAATATGTAGGTAATTGCGCAATTTCCACCCATTATTAATAGTATAATAGCAGAATTTACGTTCATAAACTTTACATAATAATATATTTTCTATTTTATCGGTAGGTACTCTATTTTGGTACATTATTGTAATATTTTACAAATTATTAAAAGCTGTTAAACAAAACAACGGAAAATAAATCGAAGCATTATTTCTGATAAAATATGTTATGCATTCTCTTGATATTTAATTATCAACCTATTAAATATAGGCATCGATTGAATATAATTTGAAGTATCGATTATATTATTTTAAATATTTTAAAATATTCAGATAACTATTGTTTTTTGCTTCTAGAAGTGATTACACAAGTAGGTACTGAAATATTTTATTATAACAACCTTCACGTAAGGCACTTCAGATTTGTATTAAATTTCTGTAATTATTTCTTAATAATAAATGAGTTTAATCTTTTAATTTGTACTTATACTCTAACTATCTCTTTAATATCAATTTGATGCATCTACAGATTTATTCAGATAATCTATTATATTAAGTAGAGAATTCTAATATATTTATCTACATCTACTCTATTCAATACCACTTTTCTTAAAATAGAGAAAACTACAGCAATGTGTAGAAAACGAAGATGTTTTCTTAATATTGCCCAACTTTACATTTTTTTGCATTTGTTGATTTAATTTGATAAGTAACAAGTAACTTATCTTTCGTTCTATATTTTAATTATTTCACTGTTTCACTACCGATTTCAATGAATTATTAAGATAAATTATACAACAATTAACTAACAGAGCCCCTCATACTATTAAAGATGCTATTCACCATAATTGAAATACAGTGTAAAGAAAAATTATTCATTTTTATAAAGGATATCTAAAACCAACAATTATACCAATAAAAGTTAACATACTTACTGATGTGGTAATTGAAATGAATGGGACCACAATCGACGACTCACACGTTATACTACGAAATCGCATTCTTACAACTTTTTTAAATATATAAATTTAATCATTATTTGATTTTATGATATTGTTCTTATCTTAAATACACGTAGGATAAGTATTTGATATTTATCTACAGTTAGGTACGTTTACTGTAGCTTTAATTTTATTATTTTTAAGTACATAACTGGGCATTGTTAGTTGAATTCCTGAAATACTTTCGTTGGACTATAGTCAACGCAGGATATTGGATGTCATTTTTTGCCTTCATTGATTCCAAAAGAATTTAGATTGGTTTTATATTTGTTAATAGTTTCATCTTTTCAGTCTTAAAAGTCGCTCTTTTCCCTAATTTTATGATTGTACGGGTAGTATTTTGGTGTTTCTATTGGTCTTTCGAGCCAATTTTATTACAAATCTTTACTACTCTGTTAGTTTACTTTTTAATGATTTGTTTATTCTTGAGTAAGATTCTTCATTATATTAGTACAAGTAGTAAGTATGTAATTTTATTGACTTTCTTCTTACTTTTATGCTCAAAGTATATTTATGCACTTTTTATTTCTATACTTTACGTCAGGTGAAGTCATTTACTAACAAGATGAAATTGTAATGTCATATATTTGCATACAATTATAATCTTATCTACCTTTTTATTTTTATACCTATCCATATATACTTTTACCATTTTTAGTTTTGTTTGTTTATCGGTTTCCTCCCTGAATTTCACATTAAGCTATAGATTTATTATGAATAAAAAATTTATATATCCACATCATAATTAGGCTAGGAGTACAAGGAAGAAAACACGTCTATTAAAACCCAGTATTAAAATTAATAAAATAATTGATGTATGTAAGTAGAATGGAATTTAATCTCGTAATTAATTTGATACGAGAATCTAAATAGTAGATAGAATCTCTATAGAATATCACAGTAGAATATTTTAAATTCTTTAAATACATTTCTGATTATTGCCAAGCCATACTTCATAAATCCTCACTATGGTCAGAGCCAAAGTCAGTTTTTGCAACAAAAATTAATAAAACTCACCAATTACTACACTAATGGACATCCTTATCAATTCGATAACAACTAAAATCGTAACTTAAATGGAGGCAAACAATAACTGAAATATCAATTCATTAAAACTGTTAAATAGAAATAAACATAATGCTGTTGGTTATCCTATTTAGATTACGTTTTAGTGTCCATGAAATATTAGTCATAATTCTGTAATCATTATATCATGTGAACATACTTTTACATAACTAAAATATAATACATATCTATAATTATTATCTATATTGGATACTTTTCGACGTGACCACTGACCATGGAGATGATGTAAATAAGGACAAGTTGTGTTCTTTACTAGATCTTGCATCTTATCAAACTCACTAACAAACTGCAATATTAGCTGTCCTATACTACTAATGATTGATAATAAAAATGCAATAAGAATTGGACCTAAACTTGCAATTAAATCTTTTCACGAGTCCCTTTTAAATAGTTTTTACATTTTACGATTAAAATGCTTACGAAAAACACATTAATATTCATACCCCCTATACCTTTTCTCACTTGCTGGACGTCTTCCTCGCCTCTCTACAGCATTCATATTCATACGTACTAGCAGTACATCAAGTTTTCCGACTGGTAAATGAATAGATATTGTGTTTCAGTATCCCAGAGGATATAATGCATTGTTAAACAAGCCGTTATTATTTCTTCTCTGTTCAGTTAAAATTATGTATAGTACGTAAAACGTGACATCGTTTTATATTACGGCTAAACATGTATGCATTGTGCACGCTTAGCTTCTCGGATGTGTTACAATTAGTGACGTTAGTCATTGGGTGTGACAAAAATACCGCAACAAGTGAAATATGTATTATAAATTCGTTTAATTAGTTTTAAGTATCTGCGCACGCGGTTGGTATGCCAGGTTTTAATTAAGTTAATTGAACTGTTTGAGTAATTATGATGGATTTAGACGGAGACTAACCAGGGTTGTGCGATAAATTGTATACTCGTTAATCTTATTTTTCGCAGGAAATACTTAAATACCTACGTGTATTTCAGGAATTTCTAACCGTATTGTGTTTTACTGACTTTTGAAAAGAAATAAATTAGACAAATAAAGGAGAACGAAAAACGCTAAATCCGATCGGGCACCGTTTTTCCGACTGTTGTTTCATTGAATATCGTTTGACTCTTAGGTGCGAGAAACTATTTTCCAAGAAATAAAGGAAATCTTATGCTGACGCTCGATCCCCTAGCAAACGCATATTGGAAAGAAAGAACGAAGAAACAGCGGCGGTTTTACAGGCATTCATTTATTTATTTTTTTTCAAAATTACCGTTTTTCTATTTTAACGTCCTTATAATTCCATTATTATTTTTTCAACTTTACGAGCCATTCTTGGAAATGACAGTTATTTTACAAACGAGGAACGTTAATTGAGCAATTAAAAAATAATTGTTAGGTATGCAAATAAAAAAGTTCTTAGCAATTTATGTTAATAAAAAAATTGTAAATATTTTGGCGCTCCTGGTTTTGGTCTAACAGTTCTCCTTTTATTGAAACGGGGATCAAGACGGAAAGCGTTCTCCGTTTCTTTGATTAGGTTATCAAAAGTTTCGAAACGGTGAAGGCTTTTTAGATATATCTAAATAGGATATATCCGAGACCGCAACCCCACAAACTCAGACGGAATATTTTATGAAGGTGAAATGCCCTAGCATATGCTGAAAAACCTCTAAAAAAAACCCTTAACAGGGAGCGACAACCCCACGGATTCAGAGTAGCTTCGGTGGCGTTTATTCGTTTTTTTAGGAAAAACCCACAAAGGGTTTTCCTTGCCTTTTATGTACGCAAAAATAACCTAAATGTAGTTTAATAATTGATTAAAAATCGTCCAAATCCATCAAAAGAAATGAATTGGAAAAAAATACACACTATAAATAATGCTAAAGACACTAATACATACCTACCTCATGGTGTTATGAATTTATGACTCTGAGCAGACTCGCCTGGAAAATAATCCATTTGCGAAAATGACAAAGTAACTTTTTCGTCGAGTACGTTACTTTCCAATTTTTGCTCAATAAACAGCATTCATTTCCACCAGTCACCTCGGATAAATTTACGGCCATTAGACGTTAGAAAAATGTCGAAACGCCGTACACTGTATTTCATGATATCCTGGTTCATTTCCCACATCGAACGGCGCACATTCTCGAATCCATTTCCATCCCTCGGCCTGTCGAGATCCGGAAGCATTGTTCGTCGTTTTGATAAATCCGGAAAAGCCCGGTCCGCAACAAGATCCCGCCGAAAAAAGCGAAAATAAATGCAGAAATAAAAAGCCGATAGATGGCAGCGATAACTTATTTGTTGTTCCCTTGGTAACACTTGTTCCTGATATTTTAATCCTGTTTTTCGCAATACTCTGTGCTCGTGTACTGAAATTCCCAAATGATTCCCAAAAGGAACTTGTGTTTATAATGTTATTTGACTTGTAGGTTTTTTTGCCAACTATGTACATATGTACATACATATACATAAATCAGATTATTACTTTTGCAGAAAACTCTATTTTTCTACAATACATTCCAAAGAAACAAAAATTGCCAGAGAAGTATTTGACCAACTTGGCAAGTAAATATTCGGTACATGTTACTATAAAATGGGATTAGATAGAGTTACATAGTAATACTCGAACGAATATTTATGCAAGTGAATCGATACAATTTAACCAATCGGTATACTAAAATAGCATAATCTCCATTTCGCGCTTAATTTTCTTGAAATTTGAACAGAAACCCACTTATTTAATAGCACAAACACGGCAAGAAGCAAACCTATTTATAAAGTACAATATGCAGATGTACATAAAACGTGACTTTTAATAAAATTGCGAACTCTACTGTACACCGAAGTATTTGGCCCGAGTTGCCTCCCAGTTTACTCTATTTTATTTATTGGTCTTGTATAATAATAGTGGCTTGTTCCCTTGTGTACACAAGATATCAAGAAATTTGAAACTTGTATCCTGTAAGCACTCGTATGTTAGTAGGTATAATGTAATTTTACTTTGTTATACATGGATTTTATGTATAATTTAGTTCCATACAACTTCTGCTATAATTGAACACCATTTTTATAGAAAGATGTCTCCAGTTTTCTATTCTTTTACTCTGTTTATTATGAACTCTACAAATGAGGCTAGAAAATATATTCGAACTACATACTGTATAATACAATCTTATCGGCAGGCATGTATGTATACTCATCTCTCGTCGACATTAAAATGCTTGCCCGGGTAAATAACATTACCGGCGTAAATCCACTTTGCGGCTGGTGCCCGTCGTTGTTAAATACATGTCAAAAGGCAATTACCTACCGTTTGTTTTTATTGGATTCGCTTCGGAAAAAGTCCATCGCCGGAAGCAGACTTTCCATAAAAAGGAAATTATAAAGAAAGCATGACAGCGGCTCTGATCGTTATACCCCCAAACATTCTATCGGGGCGATTGCAGGACCGCATTCTTGTGTAATGTATGGCTTGAATAATAAGAGGCAAATAAGAGCCTAAGAAAAATGTTAGGTTAATTTATTGTAGGTACTTGGTAATCGTGAATGTACTAGATCTAATTAAAGAATTTGATTCAATGTTTATGATACTAGTACTTAATTCTACGTGATTTTCTATAAGTGCGGCCCTGCTTGTCTTTAGCACATTTTTTATTTTCCTCCCCGTTTAATGGTTTAACGTGAGTGCCTCGGTCTTTTTTGTCGTTTGTTACAATCACTTTTGAGGATAATGATAAGAATAGACGATTGCCAGCGGGCGTATAGAGGATTTCTTGTGCTAGCGATACTCCTATTACGATCAGTTTTATTGTCGGTTTTAATGTATTATTTTCCGTCAAAATATATTTAAATTTTCTTTTATTTACTACCTGGAAGTAGCTATCAATTTTCCGGTAGTTCAGAAAATGCATATTCTTGCTGTAATATGATCTCATAGCAAAATGATAAATAGATATTAATAACATTGCACTTGCTATAGTTTATAACTTCGAAAATTTACAATCGGGCTTCTTATTCTTCCCACTTCTCTTTAGCCGAACGGGAGTTTACGTTTCGAACATAATAGGAACATAAATAACGCGTTCAGCTTCTCGTTAGCAGTACAAAATGAAACTTTAATAAAAGTGAATTATTGCGAATATTAAAACTAAATTATCCCGACAATGAATTCTATAAGCTGCTCGCAAGCTGCGTTGCAATTTTTTGCATCGCTTTCTAAATGAAAAACACATTATATCATGTCAAAAGGATAGATAATGAAAAATAAAACAATTCATTTATAAACCAATTTTATTATACATTTATTAAGTTTCAACTTATTCATACAATATATACATTTAAAAACTCAATATGCTTAACATTAATCTATAAAAATGTCCAACAATTTTTTTCGCGTTTGACTAGACGGTTTTAAAAACTCAAATTGTTGGAAAAAATGTTAAAAACAAAATTAGTAACCCGTTAAAATAAACATTTTACCTGTGAACAAACATTAGAATCAACCCAAGTATGTACCTATTAATTTAAAGGTTTTTTTTTCGCTATAACGAAACACAAACGGCAATAAAAACTCCTGCAATCAATTGAACGCGAATGAGCAAACCATCAGCGATAGTTGGGTAAACGAAACCGTTCGAATGAAACGGTCGTTTTAATTTCGAAATGCCGAAGAAACATCCCATCGATATTGACTAGAATTCCCATTATAACTCGTTAAAAATTTATGCAACACTTGAACGAGCGCCGAACGAAAATTCTAATTTCAAATGCGCTAACGATAAACAAAAAAACATGTTTGTTTTGCAGAATTGAAATTTACTGGGCGCGTTCTTCGCTCAACGAAGTTGCATCGCATCCAATTTTATCGAGATGCACTGCCTAACGCGGTAAAAATGAACCGATAAATCGATAGAAGTTAATGCAATTGGCGAAGTGGGTTCGACGGTCTTCTGCATGTAAAATTCCGGGTTATTAATTTTGTTTTCGACACGTTTTTGTTCTCTAAAGAAAAGATCATCTTCCGGTGATTTTTGAAAGTATATAGTAGAAACACATTTCGTGTAAAAGGAGCTTCATCGTATTAGAGTCTCAATTGGCGGAACATTTTCCTCTGTCATTGTCTCTTTTTATTTCTATTACGTAAAGAACTTCTACAGTCGTGATGCTGTCCTAATTGACGAGGCCTACAGTGATAAAAAGTTTCTTTTTTTTCTTCTTGAACACAGCAGTTTCGTCTCTTTATTAACACTGATATGATTATCTATGACTGCTTTTTTGTTATCGTACAAAAACAAAAGTTCTTAACAGAAATAAAAGAGGAAATTGTACTGTGAAGGGCGTAATCAAATTCTGTCCTATAGCATCTGTATTTTGCTTTCTTTCTTTCGGGGGAAAAACTCATTAATTTTTGGTTTATTGGCGGAAAAGTGAGTTGTAGATACACCCGAAAAAATGATAAATGTATTAATTATGAAACGTCAATTAAATTTCAGTTCTGACAAATGAAAATTGCATTAAATTCGAAATTAATAAGTTTAGATATTAATTATAATATCAACGTCAGTTACATTTTGCAGAATATAATAATTAATAACTGTTTTAGCATATTTGAGTCAATATCCACCGCAAATGCATTACCATCAGGATATTAAATAATTATATCAAAAATTATACACACATTTTTGATTCAATAAATCGATATTAATTTGGACACCGTTTTAACTCCTGGCAATTTATTTAATTAAATTTCTGACAATATTCCACAAACTTCCATTTGTCAAAAAATAGCGGCAGAATGAATATACTCAATTCACACTTAATTCAGTACAGTAGTATTCATATTGGTGATGAAATGCGGATGACCGCCCGCCTCTCCGCTCTGTATCGAAAAATGTCTGTACGAAAGGTACTCCGGTGGTAAAGGTTGGTCCCTCTTAACCGCCCTTCTTTGCTTCTTCACCTTCAGATACCCCAAAACGGACACCAAGCCGATGAAAACGACGAAACCCATGCAACAGCCGATTATCAATCCCAACCTCCTGGTGAGGATCGATTGGGTGCCTATGGAGTGGTCGGTGAGGATGCCCATGCCCACGTGAGGACTGTCCGGCGCCACTAACGTGTTAACCTCCGCGCATTTGCTCGTCGGAGAATCCACTAACAACGGCCTGATGGACTCCGCGAACGTCTCCAAATCGTCGGAACCGTTCTCGGAGTTGTGGTATTGTTGCGATGGAATCTCTTTGAAGTTGAATGCCCAGTGGCCTAGCGCCAATACGCAAATCAAGTACTTGGTGTCCGGATACAATTTGGAGAGTTTCATTGACCTGGACGAGCGGTCGAGTTTTCTTCCTCTGATCTGGAACGAAACGAAAAGGATTTGTTTTAAATAAATCCGAATGTTTATCTTCAAACCTCCATATTATTGGCAAATATTCAGCGTTCGTTTATCAAAATAAAATGTAAAGATAGGGATGAAACTTTTTTCGGAATTTGAACATTAATAAAGTGGAAAAATAATCGAGAGCCACAATTCACTGTCGTTCTCTTTGTTTCTTTTGTTCGTCGGGAAAGGAAAAAAATTGTCTTGACTAGAACTGTTCAACTTATCTTTCGGCATAAAGCGGTTTTTCGGGTCGCTTTTTCGATAAACTCCGTGTCGTGTCAATCGAATTGTTTTGAAAAACTTGTAGATTCCCTTTCCCTCTCTATTATTTATTTTCCCCTGTGAGGAAGAGCCTTTCAGAAAATCTGGAATAAGGCCAAATAGGTTTCAGGGCTATAGATTAATTATGGATGATTTTATTGTTTTCCGCTGGAAGCTCATCAATGAAATTACTAAATGGATTATTCCATCAATAATTTTATTAAATACGTTTATTTAATTATTTTATACGAGGCCCCTCTGTATTTTTTCCAACATTTGAATGCAATAATTCATTTCGGAATATGGTCAAATGAATTACTCAGCAAAAACTGTAATATCAAAGTGGCCTCACACAAAGAAAATGCCATTTACAAGATTTTCCCGTTTCCAAAAGGAAATTTCGTAATTTATCCACGTCAGAATATAAAGCGCGCGGTGCATCTACGAAATTATGTTTTCTTCGAAATTAATAATCTTTCATTTTCAAAACGAACAAGATTTATGTAGAATTTCTCTTCTACATTTACCCGTTTGTGTGCGCTAATTAAAATCTGTTACAACAGCTAAATGAGATCAAAAAATTAAAAAATGATATGCAATTTTATGCCGGATGTTCACGACATCTTTACGCCCCTACATTGTGGGTAAATTGATCATATTTAGTGGGATAGGGTCTTACAAGATTCAAGCAAATTGTGACTATGTATAGTTAAGTTATACTATATAACAATAAAAAATATACCTACATAAAAACAAATAAAAACCGGAACATTTAACCACATCGCTGTTTTTATTCATTTATTTATTTGCGCGTTGATTATTTTTTTGTGAAAAAAATTACAGTGAATACTGCTGTAAAAATATTTTCATTCATTGTATTTGTGACAAGTTTCAATTTAATCAGTTTTGCATTGAAAATACTTTTGCAATACCTACTGTTGATTGTAAGCTTGAATTGAATTTATGTAAATAAATCAGCAACTCATTTGTGTATCTAAATAAGCACAAATAGGTGATGCACAAATTTTTAATTGACTGTTTCAATCGTCACTGACTTTTTTTATCGAAAAATTGTACATTTATGAAGGGAAATAGTGAAATACAAAGTTTTATTAAATCATTTAAAGCCTATGCTTTAGCAAACTCTTTTCATCGGACTCAATTACAACATTGTTGGATCAGACATTTCGATTTTCGAAGCAAATTTTACCGAAATTCGCCCCCGTCTATGCACGGGAAATCAATATTTTTTTATTGTTAATGTCGCCAGGCAGTGTTCAGAAACAAAATTACACATAACAATAGAACGCAGAAGCGGTATTTGGCTACCCCAGGGGTCGACTTTTGACACAAACGTTCCGTACCTAAAGGAAAACTCGGGAAAAGTTCAATTCGCAGCGGAATTTTTTTAGCTAAAGTATATGACGTTGAGTTATGGCGGAAAGATTACATCTTGCAGCGTTATAATTTGTCATTGCGAGGCGAAAATGTCGTAATATAGAGGAATATATTACCATTGTCTTAACCGCCTTACGACGGATGATAAATTCGAATTTATTTTAAAATCCGCATTCGTGACTAGACCTACCTAATGTGACTTTTATGAAATTTCTAAATAAAGAAAATATAAATCCGGTGTTTGTATATTAACTGCACGTACTTGCTTTACAATTAAACTTTAACCCCGAATGACCTCCATTTATTTTCAATTATGTGTCGCATTTTCCATGCTATTGAAAAAAACGCAGGAGCCTAGCTCGCCTGGAAAAATACTCCGGCATACATAATTTTCATTCATTATATTAATGCTGTGTCCACTCCGGTGACATATTATAGCGGAACGTGACCGTTGACTAGTATATAACGCCGGAACGGCAGCCTGACCTGTTTGAATATTTAATCATAGTTTTCCATATCATATGTTGGAATGTTTTAGCGTTCCAGATAAAAATATGAAATGGACACCATAAATTAAAGACAAAAACAAGGTTACGCCGGATAAATGTTGCCGCTCTACGGAGTACAAACAGTCCGGGAAACGCTAGATCTAGCGAACGTGCAGATGGAAGAGTTATTTTTGTATTCGCTCTAAATTACTACAAAAATTATGTGCGTGTTGTTTAAAAAATGCTTGCTTTCGCCCCGGATTCATGTGGCTAGCAGAAACATCCATATAACTAATTAATTTGTTAAAAAAAAGAGTAGGTACGTAATAAAATTTCCACTGGACCCGAGCGCTTTTTTCACAACGAATTTACTTCCCGCTAAACTACTTTGACGGTTTTCATCCAAATTACTAATGGGGCTTTTTAATAAATTTATCATAGTGGCGCACTCGCACAGATAGCTTTGACCTTTTAACTCGAATCGGGCAAAATACATTTTTAAATAAGTCACTCCGCAAATATGGATTGTAACTTATCGTCGAAAGTTGGCGGCCCTTCGAAGCGTATATCACGCGAGCGGCGTTTTTATTACGAGCAGTTTCCTTAAAATTTATTTATTAACGGGTGAACGTTCTCTTTATTACGCGAAATTAGTTAATGATTAAATGATATAAGAAAATGAACAGTGGAAGTTTTGTATAAACTAGCTTCATTTGCGTATACCGTTTGTAAAACAAAATAGAATATATAACTAATTTATACAGGGTGTTTCTGTAATCAGGGGTCAAACTTTGGGAGCTAGTAGAGAACCTCAAAATATTACAAAAACTTAAATGTCATTTTATCGAAATGTTCTTCGTTATCGGTATATAGGGTGTTAAAGAGGATTCTTGAAGAGGTATATTTATTAATAATTTAATTAATAGCAAAGATAAAAAGATGAAATTTGGTACACGTACTAAGCAAATGAAATGTCTTACGGCACTATTCAATCGGGTTAAAAAAGTTGTCCAGGGGTGGGTTAAAATGGGGGGGGGGGGGGTTCGTGATGGGATAATTCTAACCTAACTTTTTTAATTTAACCTTTTCTATTGATTTGTTTAAAGAATATAAAAAAATTAAGTTTTCTACATAAAAAAGGTACCTATACTTGTTGATTTTCCGTAAAGTGAACCGTTTTCACTAAAAATGACTTTTAAAATTCTGATACACCAAAATTATTAAACTGCCACCTTTAAAAATCTATAGGAATGAATTCTTGCAAAAACTTGACATTTCGCTAAAATTACATTTTTTTCTTCTTGCTCCCAAAGTTTGAGTACCTAATTCAGAAACACCTGTATATGTAGCTCTTTGCGACTTTAATAACGAATTGAATGTTGCGCTACTGATAGTAAATATTAGGTAACACTATCAAAGTTATTTATAGCATTAAATTATCGTCAATTCAACTAATATAGTCGAATGGAAGCAACGATTCGATAAATACACTCAGTACATCGTGGAATTTCGAACGCGTATCCACGTAAGTACAAATACCTATTAAAACTTGGTGTTGTAGTTGTACTGGCACCTCGGGATTATCCTAGAGAAGGTAACGTGTAATTTTGTTGATACAGCGCAAACGAAAATTAGCATTTTAATCGATTTAATTTAACTACCACGCAATTTAACATCCAGAAACTTGACTTAACTAATTTTTTTCTCGACGCTTCAACAGAAACATGGCGACGCCGCTGATAAGTTTGAACAACGGAATGAAAATGCCGGCGTTCGGTTTGGGTACGTGGCAGGCTGCTACAGGGGAAGTCGGTGAAGTTGTGAAACAAGCCATAGAAGCCGGGTATCGTATGTTCGATTGCGCTTGGTTGTACAGCAACGAAAAAGAAATCGGCGAAGGACTGAGGGAGAAAATTAACGACGGAAGCGTAAAGAGGGAAGATTTGTTCGTAGTTACCAAATTATGGAACACATTTCATCGCGAGAACGAGGTCGTGGCTGCCTGTAAAGAATCGCTTAAGAATTTTGGTTTGGATTACGTCGATTGTTATTTGATACATTGGCCTTGTTCTCAACGATTAACGGGCGAATTAAATCCCACGTTACCTTTCGCTAATGCAGTTGATGATGAATACGATTTCACCAAAACATGGAAAGGGATGGAGGAGTGCGTGCGATTGGGGCTTGCTAAAAGCATCGGATTGTCCAATTTCAATTCACAACAAGTTAAAAGAATCATGGAAAAATGCACCATAAAACCTGTAGTCAATCAGATCGAAGTGACACCTTTCCTTAACCAAAGAAAACTGATTAAATTTTGCAATGATTTGGGCATAAAAATTATGGCCTATTCACCTTTGGCTTCGCCAACTAGAGGATGGCTCAAACCCGGAGATCTGGTACTTTCATTCAACGATCCTAAATTATTAGCTATAGGAAATAAGTATGGTAAAACCGGCGCTCAAGTAGTACTGCGCTATGTTTACCAACAAAGTACTATTCCTATTCCAAAATCTTCCAACGCTCAAAGATTAAAACAAAACATAGACATCTTCGATTTTGAACTAACAGACGAAGAACTACGTACTATTGATCAATTTAATTGCGGCGTAAGAGTGTGCAGCGCAGAAGACATGATCAACAATTCTGAATATCCTTTCAATTTTAAAGAATAAATAATCAACTCACCTCCATTTCTTCAATTCGATCCATAGAATAGTAGGCTACTTGGTAACCGTTCAATCCGGAGTGGTTCCTGCTTTGCCACGACACCAGCACGGAAAACGGTTGGATATCTTGAATGCCCAATTTCACAACCATCGGCTGATCGCAAAACTGTTCCGGATCCAACTCGAGAAAAACCCTCCCGCGAAGTTCCGGCGGATGTTCGCAACGAAGTTCCAGAGTATCCGTACGTTCGACTAGTTTCTGATGGTCGCGCAGCCACTCCCACAATTCCTGGGAATCGCAATTGCAGGATAGGGGATTTTCTGAAATTGTTTAATCAAGATAAACAACATTGTACACCTACTGTTTTATGGTAAACAACTCCTTAGGGAGTTTAAAATTGTTTCGTTAATAAAGCCATGAATTTATTGCTCACCTTCGGTTCTAAGACTTCTAATTTGCGTCTCTAGAGGCCTGAAAGCGTTCAGAGGAATATTCTCCAAGTAGTTTCTACTCAAATCTAATGTTCTTAATTTTTTCAAGGGTTTGAAAGCGTCACTAGACACCAATGAAATCCAATTACCGAACAGGTACAATTCCGAGAGATTCTCCAAGTTTTGAAACGTACTCTTAGCTATCCGTGCTATTTGGTTGAACGATATATCTAATATCTGCAGCGACTTCAAATCGACCGGAAATTCTTCTAATTCTTTCAATCGATTATGCGTTATATTTAAAATCCTCAACAAATGTAATCCTTGCAGCCGCTCTTGCGGCAGTAATTCCAGTTCGTTGACTCCCAAATCCAACGTTAACAAATTCGGTAGGTTGGCGAACGCACCCGGAGATATTCTGGATATTCTATTCTGGCCGAGAAATATATGCAGCAAAGACGGAAACGACTCGAAATCTTTGCTCGTGACGATAGTTAAATTCGTGAAGCTAATATGGATCTCTTCCAAAGAGGGATACCGGCTGGTCGAGGTTATATCGTGAATTCTCACTAATGGATTGTCGGTCAGATTCAGCCAATTTAATCCCGGTAATGTTGCTTCCGATAAAGCGGAATTAGGTATCTGCTTGAATCTATTGCAGGACAAATTTATTCGTCTTAACAGAGGCGAATGGTGAAAAAAATTCGCCGGTAGTCCCACGAGGGAATTGTTGCTTAAATCCAGCGAAAGGAGCTGGGTCAGATTCGCCGATGCGAACCCGGACAGGGACGTAATGTCGTTACTTTTTAAATTCAATTCGCGTAAATTAGGCAGGCCGTTCAATCTCGACACCTCTACTATAGATAATTTATTGAAAGCCAGCGACAGGACTTCCATTGTGGATATGTTCAAGAGAGCGGTGTACGGCAAGTCTACAAACAAATTGCTATCCAATTTAAGCTCCTTCAGAACATTCAAGTTGGAGAACACTCTATATCCAATATCAGGTATTAAGTTCTCGTTCAAATCAATGTGCAGCAAATTTTTATTTTTGAAAAATAGTTCGTCTGGCACTCTGGATATTTTGCAATTATCGAGGTATAAGGTTTGTAAAGACGGTAAACCGTTCAGAGAAAACCCGTGCAATGTACTAAGATTATTACTAGATAACTTCAACACTCTCAAACCAGGTATATCTAACGCAGTTAAATCCTTAGACGTTAATTCATTTACAGCTAAATTAAGTTCATTTAAGTTGTTTAGTCCTCGGAATGCTCCGCCGTCTATCCGCTGAATGGAACAATTGTACAGATTCAAATTCCTGATGGGCAATCCTTCTTGCAAAATGTTATCGTGCAAAACTATCAAAGGGTTACTGGACAGATCGAGCACTCTCAGTTTCTTTAAATTCGTCAACGACTGCGGCTCGATGCTTCTCAACAAATTCCTGGATAAATACAATTCTTCTAATTCAAACAATTCGGAAAACGTCGATTGCGTGATTTGCGTGAGATGATTAAGACTCAACTCTAAAAATTTCAGAGCTTGCATCGGCTCGAAAGATCTCTCCTCTATTTGCGATATACTGTTATTGTTGAGATAAACGCGTTGTATCATCAACAGGTCTTTAAATAACGATCTGGTGATTCTTTTAAGTCTGTTGTGACCCAACCACATTATCTGAACGCTCGATTGGCCTCTGAGAGTGTCGTTGTGGAGAGACGTTATTCCGTTCGAGCCGAGCTGAATCGAAACCAACGACGGAGATTCGTGCATAAAAACATCACCTAAATCAGTGATGGCGTTTCCCTGAAGATTCACGTGTTGTAAACATTCCAACGTACGGAACGCACCGGAATCGATGGTAGATATTTCGTTATTCTGTAAGTGTAGCTCCAATAGCGACGGCAGGGGATCGAATACTCCTCTTTTTATCGATTGTATACGGTTATTGTGAAGTCTAATTTCTCGCAAGTTTATGGTGTTCGAAAACGTACCCGGCTCGACGTGCGTCAACCAGTTGCTATCCAAACTTAGCGACGTCAAATTCGCGCTTCTTTGAAACAGGTTGTTCGGTACGTGAGGTATGAAATTTGAGCTCAAATGGAGCTGGGACAAATTAATTAAGCTATCTAGCGCGTTGGGATCTATTCTTCTGATGGCGTTCTGCTGTAAATACACGACTGATAAATTCATCGAATCCGTAAATGCGTCCGCGGGAATCTCGAGTATGTTATTTTCCGATAGGAAAACTTCCTTCAACTCCGGTAACGAAGCAAACACTCCACTAATATAATGGACGTGATTGTGACTCAAATCTACGGAACGTAATTTCTTATTATTCCTAAACGACACTTGATCCAAGTACACTATTTTGTTGTGACTCAAATCTAACGATTGCAACTCGACTAGCGTCGCGAAGGCGTCTTGATGAACGGTCTCGATCGCGTTGTAATACAGCGACAGCGTACGCAATCCCGGAAAAATCCGGAACGAGTGCTCCTCCAATTTTTCGAAATTGTTGAAGCTGAGATCGAGGTAGAGAAGAGAGCCGAGCCTCGAATAGGTGTCATCCTGAATGGCGTTTATTTCATTCCAGGCGAGGCGTAAGTGTCGCATCCTTTCGAGGCGTCTCAGCGATTTAATTGGAAAAGTCTTAAGTTTGTTTTCAGCCATATCTAATTCCGATAGGGAGTCCTCCAGACCGGCGAATGCATACTCGGATACCTGGAAAAGTGATTTCCCATTAAACCAATTTAGTAAAGTGGAAATTGGTTTATTACGTTTGTAAACGTTCAGTTTTTTTGACTGAAATATCTGAATTTATTTGAAAATATATTCTCTTTGTGCACAAAATTTCGTTAGTTGACTTTAAAAGTACAACAGTTTACTTTATTGAACAAGCCCTACTAAATAACTCTAACTCTAAATGACTGCTCAAATGAAATTTTCCAACATATTCAACAAAGTTTAATTATCGAATTGAATTTTTAACGCACTTGATAATGAAGCCGTATCGTTTTTATTCACAAAATAATACGAGATTTTTCGCAGTAACAATTATTCACATTTTTTATTAAACAACATGCGATGAATATTTCGAAAAATACTGCCTGCATCAAAGTTAGTTATATCTAATTGATTTATTGTGAAACGTTTGATTAATGAACCTATTTAAAAAAATAACAATCGCGAATGCATATTGTTCATTTGATATAATATTGATCGATTGATTTTACTTGACTTTACGTAGGTAGTTAAAATTTTTAAACTCACAATGTCTGCTTCCAAGTTAAAGAAAAAAACTTTGAGCTATCGATCGGAACACTGATGGTCCAGAGCACAATTCGAGGAATAGATTTTAATTTTAGTTCAACTTTAACTAGGCGTGAGTAATGCCGAACGAACTGTTTGCAATTATAACTGAATTTCTCTAAAAGATCGAATTCTTTTTACCAAGTTCCTAATGCACCAAAAATAAATTGAGCATTCAAGCAGACTGTGCTGAATCGTATCCAATTTGTTCTGTTTGCTGACGGCAAATACGCCTTCGGGGGTTATGTCTAGACGTCACCATCAGTAACTACCTTTATTAGATATTGGATAGATTATCGAATTTGCACTGGGTACCCGCTCAGATCGTTCGGGCATTCGCAGAACTCTATTTAATGCGCCGCGTAAATTAATTACCTGTAGGTGCTGCAGAAAATCATTTAGATATTCCAGAAAAATTAAGTTAAATTAACTAATTGAATCAATACGTAATTAAATAGAATGTTTTATAATTGCTTAAAATTAAGGATTCGATTTTCAATTTTCCTGCAAGATACTCCACCATTAATTTAATTGTGATATCCATTGTATTAGAATTCTGAGATACATTGTAAATGATATGCATACTTACATCTTATTTTCGTTAAAAATCCCATGAAAAATGTATCAAAAATTTCATTGTTGTAGCGAGTCGTCGTTTATTATTAAAAAATTTAAAAACCGTAAAGCTCATAACTATAAAATAAATTTGTAAAAAATAAACAGCCGGAAATATGGCGGTTCATATAAAATTCAATGCAGCCGTGAATCCGCTGGGCGAAACAATGAATTTTAAAAGAGTTTCGACTCAAAATGCGAGTTTTATGACCTCACCGTATTCCGGTGTAACTCAAAAATTAATGTAACATCCACATAAACAGGAATATCTGTCGTTTGCATGTTATCATAGAGGTTACTATCGTAAGTTTCAATTTATTTGACATGACGAAAATGCTAGTGGGGAAGATAAAGAAAATTTATAGTTTGGGATCAAGCCTCAAAATTACTTCTGGAAGTACTTACAGTTGAAAAAAATGTTTTCAATATTCCTGTTTATAGGATACATAAAGGGTTTTTATACTGTTTTTGTATACTACTTTGTTACGCATAATTAAATTACTAGTTTCAAATGTATTATTTCTGGTTAATTCTGATATCTCAATACAGATTTCATTGTAATAGGTAATTTTAAGCTGAATTGTTTCTAAATCAATTTACTGGCAAATTACGGCATACATAGAATCGTAACGGTCCAAAATTGGCTATTATTCTAATCGTTGATTAACTAAAAGCTTCAATCAGCTGTTATAATTAGTATACATGTAAATCCTCAGTAAATTTGCCAACAGTATATATTCGATTATTCCACGCGGAACGACTAAATTCGCAGGAGGCACTCAACTCCAGTTTAATCTAAGTTCACAAATCGAAATGAAACCGTTTGCGTTTATACGACGTTAGAGAACTTTGGCTTTGCGAATTTCGCGTTTGATAATTCAATACCTACTTTGGATTTTCTTCTAATGATTAATGCATTCAGGTACACCTAGTTGTAATTAAATTCTACGTTATTTTTCTTTGTAATTCAACATTTCGTACCTTCTGTAAATGATTGCCTTTCAAATTGAGTTTGATCAAATGCAAACCGTAAAAACTGTAGCTGGGCAAATCGACGATAACGTTCGATTCCAGATCGAGCGCTATCAACTTATTCAAGCCTTTGAACGCTTTCTGAGGTATTTCCTTCAGCCGGCCCGAAACCAAACTGAAGGACTCCAAGTAGGGCTTGAGCGGCAGGAGACAGTCGTCGTGCAATTCCTGTATATTGCTCTGCGATATCTGTAGGTGCTTTATGATCGTCGTGTCCGGGAAAAAATGCTTTGGCAGTTTAACCTGAAAACAATATTTCAAATTAAGAATTTTCATACTCGGGAAAGTATGTTTGTAGGGTGATTTTGATTAAAAATTAAATCATTCGACTTGTATATGAATTCATTTCCGCGCGCAAAATTAGAGACATGGCAATTTCAAAATTCGAATTTAATTAGTTTCCCTGACTCACCGACGGAAATTTGAATCAAATATGAGATAATTGCCGTAACGAATTTGGTAATTTTTTGAGTTTAATTGAGTTTTTATTAATGCTGGTAAATTTCGCGCTTTGAACAGATAGACAAATATTTTAATTTGCCGTCTTTAAGAAACTTTCGGTATTTTATACGAATTCATAAATAAGAAAATTGCACCTATTGCGAGGCGGATTTCTAATTAAAACGGAGCTGCGAAGCGTTTAACCGTTTATGTGTCTTTGAGCAAGTTTTCTTCATTGCAAAAGGCGAGGAAATTTGCGAATATTAAAGTGTGTACTTAAACATAAAAAATACAATTCCACCAAAGCCTTTATAAAAAATATTACCATTGCCTTGTCGGGGTCGTAAATATTGAGGCTTTGGACGGATCCCTCGATAATCTCCAGAACGGACTTGACCGATTCGGCCGTGGCGGCAGGACATTCAAGCAGGATGCCATTCTCGAAATTGAAGCACTGACAGGAAGGATTCGCCGCCAAGCTGGGACATCTCGTTTGGTCGGCGACCGTCTTCAGGCTGAGCAGACCAGCCAACAGTATGAAAGCGGCGCCATGACGCGCCATCATTGAAGCTTCTGCCAAGGCGCCATCGTCCGTTCAACCTCCCGTCATGCCGGGGAGGTTCTGCAACAAAAACAGAAAAAAAATTAATCCTCCGCGTCCGTACTAATAAAGTTTTCAATATCTCAATTTCGATTAAGTTTATGGGTCGATTCCGGCGAGGCTGGAACTTTCAAAACTCCAAAAGTAACGGACCCCTCATTAAATTAACGCCCGGCGGCAACGTCGCAAACGTCTGGAAAGATTGATGAAGACCACACATCAGAATGGTTTCGACGTTGTACCGTCAGCTCGGCTTTCCTCCGCTCCGTTTCCGCTTCCGGACTCTGGGGTGCCGGAAATTTCCGCAATAATTGATTTTAGAACAAAAAGAAGGCCCACTGCGGATTTCATATTTTTGATTGTTCACTTCATTTCGTTTTTAATTAGATCTCGTTGCGTTCGGATGAGCAAAAACGAAATATATTTGATTAATTCACGCATTGTACCTATTTTTGGCGCACAATCAATTGCAAAAATTATTTTCCTGATTACAAGCATAATTTATATAGTAAAATAGTAGGTTGCAAACATTGTTTTATATTATAAATTCGTTGATTTGTAGTATGTTATAGGTAAAAAGAAATGAGTAAAATCGACCAGTCAAAGCTACAGCCATAGTTGAAACATATCAATTATTCTACCTTTATGTAGATAATAAATTCGATTTAAAATTGAAATATTTGTTGAATATTTCATATCATTTTTTTATATATCTACAAAATTTGATATAGTCGCGTGTATGTATATTAAAAAAGCGAGTTTAGTTGAATACCTCCCTGACGCGGATCGAGCGCCGAAGGCGGACTTTAGAAGGACCAAAACAAAATGAACAAAATAATAACATCGGCTCGATTTTCCGCATCTGTTCCGCTCCTCCGCCGCCGACCATTAATTAACCGGCACCCTTGAACTCTCGTCGCTCGGGTAATTAGCCACCTTTGAAAACCAAATGGAAAGCGATCCGTTTTCGATGAGCGCGACGGCTCAAGGAATCGCCTTCTGCCGATCGGACGGAGTTCTTTGATCGGGCAACCACTTGTGGGGGATGGATAATTATTAATCGGGCTGCTCGCGGTGGTTTGTTAATTGATATATAAAATTTTGTTTTTCCTCCGAGAAGGCGAGCTTTGAAAGTTATCGTTTCAAAATCGGCAGGTATTTTTGTATTGTTTGATTGTGAGATGTGTTTATTTAACCGGTAAATATTTATTCGGGAATTAATTAAGCAGAGAAGTTTTTTTTGTTTGAGCTAAATATAGGTCATTAAAATTTAATGAATGTTTGAATCTAAACAATTTTTTCTCGTCGGGTAATTTTTTGATTACAAGGCGCCAATTATGAATAAATTAGAACCTATGTAATCGTGTTAATTTGGAATTCGAGAAAATCTCCGGGAAACACGATGAAAAATTCATCTACTCAAAAGATTTGATTATACTCACTTTGCTAAAAGTTTTACTTTTATCAAATTTTGTAATTTATCCCATTTCTATTGCAAAAACTAAACTTCAAAATTTACTTTGCTTCGAAATCCGAAAAGAAATAGAGCAAAAAGGGCCTTTCCGTCTCGGCGCGTCCTACATAAAAATAACTTCTACAAAAAAAGGAAAAGTTGTTCCTTTTGTCGCGTCCCGAAAACTCTTGCTAAACTAAAACCACGACCGGGAGGAATAGAGCAAACTTTATCTTCGACTGCAAGCAAACTCACAACCAAGTTTTTCCAAAATTCGCGAGATGGTAAACTTAATTCTCGTAAAGAGGCAATAAATGTCCGACGAGTTTGCTTCCGATCCACCATTGTCCGACATTCGGCTCGTTGTCTCGAATCGTCTTTCATTCAGATTCGCGGTTCGAAAACCCGTTTCTCTTTTACTACTTCAATCATTCGATCCTCCGGCGCTTCCCAACAACTTTTCCACAGCGAAAACATCAACAGAACATTCGTTCAAGTGTTTGTTTTTATTTTTTAAATTAGTTACAGTTATTATACAAGAAAATAAATATTTCTATTCCTAGACGGCTTGTAGAGTACTTATCCATTTCGTTATGACCCCATTCGGGGGAAATTCATTTGATTTAGCGACCTAAAAGTATTCCGAGGAAATAACGCCCTCCGGATTTCTGGAACAGAACATAAAACTTCCTTAAACAATATCAACTCTCCGTATTTGTATTTTGTTGGTAAAAAAAAGAAATTCGAGTCCTTCGGGGTTATCGTATCAGTTTTATGTCGTATTTGCCAAATACTCTGTTATCTGGGATCTTTTAGTCCGCATCTAAGGCGTAAACAGCTGCTATTAAGATAAAGACCTACTGCTGTTCCGTTTTGTTACTCAATAAGAATTGAACGGAGCCGCTTCCAGTCGGGGCTATCCACTTTATTTTGATAGGATATCCCCTCGGATCTCTGGAGAGAATGTATATATAGGATCAGTTCGGATGCGTTTCTATTGGCGAGGAATGGAATTTTAAACCGATCCGTCGGGAGTGTGTCAATAAGAAATTTCCACGATTTATAGATTTTTTTCCGTTGCGAAATTAATCAACTTTTTAAAACGTTATAAAATACCGCTCGAAGTTGGGCGATATAGCGAATGTCAAGAAGAGACGAAATAACAATAAAATTGAAATAACGGCGGGCCGATTTTCCGTATCGTTCGATATCAGTTTGCAGGAAATTAAATTTTTTTGTGTTTACTTAATGAATAAAAGGGATTTGGACGGACGCGTTTAGCTGCGTTTATTAAACGAAATATACGAAGTTATTTATTGAAAAAAGTTACCGGAATAAAACTGTTTATTCATTGAAACACTGAAACATTTTGGATACGAGCTATGCTTAATAACAATACTTGTAAAAGAATATTTTTTACATAAATTATACTCAATTCCTGAATTTAGTTTGCTTCAAGTGTATCCACTAGTTAATTAATTTGTTGGACATTACTCAAGGATTTGTTGGATATTATTCAACATGGTTAAATTATGTTGCAAACTATTCTCCATTTAATTAAATGTTGCCTAATACAGCTTTCGGACCTCCTTCTTCCATATTTCTGACTGACTGTTAGCTCAATTGAGCTCATTTCAAATAGACTAACACAACATAATTTCATCTAGCGAAACAACATCATTTTTCGTTTCGAAGTATGATAGTAACATTCGATCGACTCCATTTAGCCGGCGTTTAACGCTCTCACGTTCCCGCCGACCGGCTATTAATCTTTCTCTAGCCCCGGAATCGTTTGTCCCTCTTCCAGTCTCGGTCGATTTTTCGAACTTTTTCCGGTTGATTGATATGAAGTGCGCGAGAGCGGTTTGAAAATTTCGGCCCTTTCCATAATAGGTCCATACCGGAGAAATTCTAATAGTCGGTAATATTACAATGGCGCGCGCCTAAAAACGACCTATCCTAGAGCAGTGTATTTATCTTCCGTGCGGACGACGGGGTGATTAATTGCCGCCGATGTCCAAGGGCGATGTAGAATGTTACTTTCTACTTTACTATCGTCTGATGAACAAAAAGTGCTAACGGATGACAGTGGTATTGTTGGAAAACATACTTTTATTCAACTATAAAATTCATAGGGTGAATAAGTTGACTGATGAATATAAGGTAGCAATAAGTCTGCAGAATTAGACAGTACCTAAGGGCGGGGAATTCAAGAAATAAGTTCGTACCCCCTGAGAAATGTACAAAGTAAATGTGTGTTGATAAAATTTTCCGGCTGGCGTGGTAACCGTAACGGCGCTCGTGGGGGTGCATTTGCTGTGCACACAGTCGAGTGATTCTAAAACGCAGGCATGCTGCAACTCTGCAACGAAAGAAAGCAGCAGTAAATTTCTTCCAAGTCGAGTCGTCGGCTACGTTTCGGACCTTCCGCTAGCATTTAAGGCGTCCGTATTTTCTGTTCCCTCAGTTTAGTTGGTAATTTCATTGCAGCCTGCTCGTTGAAAAGTCTGAGTAAATATTTGCCCGGCCGCTATTTCGATGGAAAACATTTAGTTATTGCATTGGGTAATTGTTTTCTTTGCTCGCGTCCAGCACATATAAATACATTTTTAATATTTTTGTAAGTGGATCGACAGAAAATTGGCTAGATGCACGAAAAAATCAAGCATCGACAACAGTTAAAGAATCGGAAGTTTCTCCGCTAAAATAAAGCAAAACGGAATTAAAATTCTAACAACTTTGTGTAAGCTTTGTTGTTGGAAGGAAATCAAAAACATAAAAACCGACTCGCGGTTCCTCTGCTTCGTATTTAAGCGCTAAACAGAGCAGTACACAGCGCCACGGAAGCCGTTCGCGAGCCACAAATTTTTGTAATACTTCCGCAATAAAATTCTCGCGAACGGCGTCATTCTTATTTTACGCCATTAGGAATGAAAAATCACGGGGATTAAACTGGAACTTCCGCCTCTAAATTATTCGAGCGAACAATAAAGCGTTTTGAAAATTTGTGTTGCGCCGGCAAAAGAGTTGAGGGAGCGAAAAATGGGGGCCGATTTGAAATTACTTATTCCATTCAATAAAGTTGGTGTTTAAAAATGTGAATCAAAAATTCATCGATTAGCAATTAGCAGGAAGGGTAGCGAAGTTTTTTTACCGTAAATTTATTTTTTATTTAAAACCTTTACCAATTTAAATGCATGAAAAATCATTCATTAGGTACAGCTAATTTAAGTATATAAATGATATAGATATAAAAATTTACCAAAAATATAATTATTGTTTAATCTTCGGGAATAATTCGATTAAAACAGAATAGGCATTAGATGTATTGAATTAATTTTAATTTAATTTAGCTCTTTCTTCATCGTCAAAATGAACGGTAATGCAATGAGGAAATTAATTATCTGGAAGATAATGTGAAAGTAACTAAAGTGCTCTTGATGCGCAAAAACTGTATTTAAATGGGTGAGAAAACAACGTGAAGACGTGATTTTCCGCTAACTCGCACTAATGCAAACGTCGACAGATAAATCAATTTTCTCGATAACGAATGGATGTGTCAAAAACC